TATAGTGAATCAGACTTACAGCTTGCTGTGCAAGCTAAGCGATGCGACCCTCATATTACTATTAGCCAGCTTTCTAAAACTTTCTATGTCCCATATAATACCTTGAATGCTAGAATCGCCGGCTGACCATCATGACGCAATAGCATGCCCAATACTTTGAAACTTACGGTTTCCGAAGAAAATGTCATTCTTTCCTTCATCTTGACCTGGATGCGCGAGCATTTCCACCCCGGCACAGTTATGTTGAAGATATGGCGAATCAATTGTTGGCAGCGCGTGGGGATGAACGCGTTAGAAAGAACTGGACGCGGAACTTCATTGAATGTACACCAGGCCTCCGGACGCGTATTCAACAGAGGATGCACTACAAGAGGGTCTTGAAGAAAGATCCAGACGCGTATCGCATGTGGTTTTGCCAAGTTGCGGCAGCAATTACAAAACATGGTATCTAAGGCGCGGATATTTACAACTTTGACGAGACTAGGTTTTTGATGGGTATTATTAGGTCCGGCAAAGTCATTACAAGTGCCAAAAGATGTGATAGGCCTAAACAAGCTCAGCAAAGTAACTAAGACTGGTCTACAGTAATCTCTGCTGTCAATGCTGATGGTTGTGTGGTCCCGCTATTCATTATTCTACAGGGCAAAACCCACCTCGCATCATAGTATTGCGGCACGACATTACCACGTGATTGGAAAGTGGCCGTGTCTGACAACAGATGGACTACAAATGAGATTGGTTTGAAATAGATTCAGTATTTCAATAAGTATACCAGACCGTGTATGACCACTGGTAAACCCCTCCTTATTCTAGATGGTCACAAAACCTACTATTCCCTGATCTTTGAGGATTATTATCAGAATAATAGTATTATTACCGTTGGTATGCCTGCCCACTCGTCACACAGGCTCCAGCCTTTAGATGTCAGTTGTTTTAACACGCTCAAACGAGTGTACGGTCACATGATTGAGGATCTCATCCTGCGTCATATAACCCATGTTTTGAAAGAGAACTTCCTTGCAGCGTTTTGTGAAGCACACAACACTGCTATGATGCCAGGAAACATTCGAGCAGGTTTCAGTGCCACTGGGTTTGTTCCTTTCAACCCAGAAAGTGTTATTTTGAAGCTTGATGCTGTCGCTGTCGTACGAACACCGTCGCCAGACCCCAATCTGCCACCCACTACTTGGACTTTGAAGACGCCTATCACCATCAATGAAGCGGTAAACCAGTGAGTTTATACCCAAAATCGAGTCAAAAATCACCAGGAAAGCTCACCTACATCAATAATTGATGCATTGAGCTCGTTCTTAAAGGCGACATATGGTCTTATGCATAAGGTCGCTTTGGTTGATTCCCGTGTCCACGAGCTAGAAGATGCCAATCAATTACTAAATAAATGCCAAAGGACAAAAAACAAACGTCTAGTAAAAAGAGGAATACTTTCTGTTAAAGATATAGTAGGTCTCCAGGCTATAAAGGATAGTAGTGAACTGGCAAGACAGGAAATGGGTGAAGGTAGTCGCCGTCTGAGGAGGGCGGCAGCGCCTGAGCAATGTTGTGAAGTTTGCGGCAACACTGGCTATAATGCGCGAACTTGTACAATAGAGATAGAAACGTCTGAAGAAAAAGAATCCGAATGATTAGATTGAATAAATGCGTTATGGTCGAGTTATTTGACATGTTGGTTGGAAGGTTAGTGAAAAGTTGCTGTTCGCTTGTAATAGCCGCTCACTTGTTATCCACGTTACAAAATCAAAACCCTATTTGGTCTTTTAAAGGACTATTTTTTTTAGAGGGTATTTTTCTTAAACCCTATTTTAATAATTATCATAAAGGTTATAAATGCGGTAAAAAAAATTGGTTAAAGCTTATAAAATAAGTAAAGTATCTAATAAAAACATTATAATAGAATGCGCTTACTTTATAGGTATATACTATTATAAGTCTTACAGTTAATAAGTAAGTCTTCAGGCTTGAATATTTTATTATTACATTTAAATATCTGCTTATTGAGAATTCTTTATTTATAAGTTTTATATTTGATAAAAGAGTTTCAAAAGCCATAATTATTTAAATGTTTAATTTTACTCTCTGATTAATAAATAGATTCTTTTATTAAAAACTACGATTTTTTCCCGGATAATTTTACTAATAATAACTCTTTAAATATAATAAGCATTCATTATATTATACTTTATAGACTCATCAATGTGGGCTTCAAATTGAATTTTTTTAACTCATTAACGTCAAATTCTTATAATTCTTTTACCCTTTTTAAAACTATATTTTTATAATTATATATTTATAAATATTTTATGAATAATATACGGGGGTTTTTAAGGTTATTTCTTTATAAACTAATTACAAAAAAGCTTATAAAACGACTTTTGTTTTAACTTTATTTTAAAAGTACGATTTAAAAATATTAAAAATATTAAACGACTTTTAATTATATATTATACATCAGGTTGCTTTTTATCGCTTTAACTTCTAATATAATAATATATCTTTAATACTCGTCTGGTTTTTTTTGGATTAGGTATACATAAAATTCAATTCTCTATTTAAATAGTAGTTTATTCATGACGATAGTAAAGGACTCATTATTTATTTTAATAATTTTAATGGTTTACCCGTACTTTTTCATTTATGAAATACACTCTATAACGGTTTTAAAGCCTTTTTTATTAAATATTTCATAATAAAACAATAACAACGTAATATATATAATTAAATATATTACGGTTATTACTTTTTTAACGCCGTTTTTCGCTTTTAAAGCTTGTTTAATCGATATTTCTATAATAATATATTTTTATAATCTTTAAATTTAAATTTTTGTAGAAAAGCAATTTGTATGGTTTTAGAGAAGTATAACTTTTATATCTATACATTCACAAACCTTTTAAAAGAGTATTATAATACTAAAGATTAAAAATCAATACATTTTTATTTAAAAGGATCATTATCAATCGATATTTTCAAATTTTAATTCTAAAATTATTATTCGTTTCTATAATCTTTTTGTAAAATTTAATAAATATATGAAAAATAAATCTTAAGTTCGAAACAAATAAATCATAAGATAAATAATTTTATATTAAATAAGAAGCTTAACAAAATTTACTGTTAATTGGTTTTTTTTAAATATAAGTTTTTTTTGTCTTGTACCGTTATTTTTAACTTTTTTGGTTTTGCCTTCTTTATATGTTAAAAGCTTTTAGTTGCTTCATAAAGTTCTAAATCTTTTAAAAAAAAAAAATTTTTATTTGACTATTGTTGTGGTAATCCAGGGGTCAGAATGGGATGGATAATAGTCTGTGTCTTGACTATAGATCCATGGGGGAGATTCCCACCTAAATACATGTGTGACAGCCCTTTGATGCCCTGCTGCCTGACAGCGAACAACAAACCTGCCACTGGTCACCATAATGGACCTTTCACCCCCTTTGGGCCCCTTCCACCCCTATCACCTGGCGGACAGCTGCAGCCAATACCTGACAGCACCACAATGCTCACAATTATACATTCATAATTAATAAAGTTATAACCTTATTTATTATATATACAGCACTTACTTCTATAACAAAAAGTATTGGTAATAAAGGTTTTAACACGTACTTTTTTAAATGGCGCTCTTTAATGAGATTGAAAATTAAATAAAACATTTTTTATAAAAAGAATTCTTTCCCTAAATTTAATATCATTATTTTATAAAGTTACTTTTAAAAAAAAAAAAGCTTTAAGGTCTTTTTATGGTTATTAGCTTTTTATATACTTATTTAAGTTTTAACCCAACTCTAAATTTTTAAATAATTAGCAATATTTTTTTAATAATTAATAAAGTTTATAACAAGCTTATCTAGAAGCTTTAATAAATATTTATAATTGATAAAAAATATTTAATTAATTTAAAGTCTCGGGTATATTAGGGAAAAACACTATAATATATAACATTTATTATAACATTTCTTTATTTATTTATTTAAGTAACATTCTTTTAAAAGATAACTGTATTATATATATTGATAACCATTATTAATATATTTGTCGGAAATAACTTTGTAATTTAAATATAAATAAAAATCTAATCTTATAAAGGTTAGTCTAATCGAAAAAAAAGAAATTAAATTTAAATATTTCATTTTAAATATTTTATTTTGAAGTTTTTATATTTCTTTTTCTCTCGTTCATATATACCTTGAAGCTATAATTAAATTCACTAGTTATTATCATTTAAGCTGTTATAGTTGCTAGTTTTAGCTTGATAACTTTTAAAACTTAAACGCGTTAAAAAAGTTAAAAAAGCGTAGAAACTTTAAATTTAAAGTCGATATATTTTTAAAGAATAAAAAACCGATATTAATGAAATCTTTATATTATACATTTTAATTTTTCATATTATAATTTACATTTCATCAACTTTATAACAGCTACTATATTATCATTGGTCGCGTTATTTACAATATTTCTCACGTAAATATATGTTTAAACTAACGGTAAACCGCGCGATTTAATCAAAAATAGTTATAAAATAAACATTAATTTAAAAAATACTTATTAATTGGAGCTTATAACTATTAAATAATGTAATCAAGGTTTATATAATTAAAAACCCTATATTTTTAAAAAGTTAATAAGTTATTATTATGTAAAAAATCTTCTGTTAAAATGTTACAGCATACTATAAGGCCCAAATGCCCTGCTAGTATACTGCCACCTCTATACAAGCCACTGTAGCTTGCGTGCCATCTAACATATTACTGGCAGTGCAGTTGGCGGCCCGGCAGACGAGCTCTCCAAGCCAAGTGCAGCTGTTTCTCAGCTGGCAGGCTCTCGCCGTTACTGTAAAGACAGCTGCCCACGAACGACTCAACAATTTCTGACCTCATTCAACAATCATCAACGAGGTACAACAGTCCCGGCCACCTACCGCACCAGGAACGTCACATTGCATTCCAGTTTATAGCAACTCTTCAGCCGCACATCAATCCACAATGGCCTCCAAAGAAAACACAACAAGTCCCGACGACGCCACAATCAAGTCGCACATCGAGCAGCTCGTCAAGACGCAGCTCCCCACCTCCGCTATCTACAACTTCCTCCTCTCAGACGTGCGCATCACCGCCACCACGCGCGGGACCGTGAAGGCGCGGCTAGTCCTGACGCGCAATCACATCAACTCGGGCGGCGGCATCCACGGCGCCGTCTCGGCCGCCGTCGTCGACTGGGCCGGGGGCATGGCCATCGCGACCTGGGACCTGCGCGCCAAGACGGGCGTTTCGGTCGACATCCACGTGCGCTACCTGGCGTCGGCGCGCGAGGGCGACGAGGTCGAGATCGAGGGCACGGCCGAGAAGGTCGGCGGGAGCTTGGCGTTCACCACTGTCACTATTTCGAAGGTCGTGGATGGGGTTGTGGGGGATGTGGTGGCGAGCGGGACCCATACGAAGTATGTGAAGCAGCGGGTTTAGGGCTTGTCTGAGATTGATGGTGCAGTGCTGAGTTGGGGGGGTGTTCCTCATGATTGACCGTTTACGATTATGGGTTGGATTGCTTGCAGTGGGATAGACGGCTGGCAAGTCGCTAGACGGACGTGTGACGAGAGAGACATTAGATCCTAGAGCAGTGTGAATGTATACAGGTCACTTGTTTCCATAGAAAGAACGGAGATGCCTGGGCGTGTCGCCGGCCATGGAGACGGGTCAGGCAGTCTTTCAAGATATCCAAGAGAATCGATCCTGGTCGATGAAACCATAAGCAAGCTGATGCGTGCGCGCGCGCGACTATTCGCGACGCCTCTAGCAAAGACCAACAGCATTGTCCTTGCCCAATCCTCATACGGATCCGTATCTAAAGGATACTATACCCAGAGCTAGACATGATAGCTGCCGCGCGGCTTCCGGAGCGGTTTGTTGACCCAGCCTCCGCTCGTACGCCTTGATCTCCACCTTCCTCCCGCACCTTGACACACTTCTAGCAGGGCCCCGACAGCAATGTCACCGCAGACAAGGAGACCAAGGCGTTGATACCCGGCCCCCGGGCATGGGGTCTGTTCCTCACCGCAACCCCTGGATGCCATTATGCGCCAGTGGCCGGCGTATAGATGTCTATGTAGTTTGTTGCAGGCACGCTCCTAGCGCTAATACATGTTACACCGGCTGTGGTAAAGGGACCCGAGTCCACAGAAATAATCTTCTTGTTTTACAGCATAAAAATACACCCGCACTCGGCGGGTTACTACTGCAGCAAGGACGCCAGACTTTATGACTTAATGCCTGTCAGCCAAAAAGAATATTGAAATTTTTTTTCCCTTTCTGAACCGTATGATTTTATACGGTACTGGAGGCGCAGGCAAACGACTTTTACTTTTTAAAAAAAAAAATTTAATTCCGGATCTACTTTAAAGACTTAATATTCGAATCCGGGCAAAAACTCCTTTTATCTTTTTCTTTTTTTCAAATCCCGTATTTATTTTAAAGACCTAGTCTTTAAATCCGAGTAAAAATCGGGGTTTTTTAAAATCTTGTATCTGGTTTAAAAACCCTAGCTTCAAATCAAGATAAGAATGACTTTTACTTTTTTCCTTTAGTTTTTTAAATAAAATTAAACCTGTTATTTAAAACTAAAGAAACACAACTTTTTTTCTTTTTGTCACGAAGCGTAAATATAGAGTGGAGGTAACAGTCCTGCTTTCACTACGTACGTGTAAGAATCTCTCGGTAGGGAGGGGAAGAAGGATCTGACCCGCCAGCTAATTCTGGTGGGATTAAAGATCCTTCAACCCGCCCCACAATTACCCAATCTAGTACAGCTGTGGCAACACGTCCTGTGCGCCAGGTCACCTGATGCAGCGCACTGACCACATCGATGGGCTGACAGACGTACAGGAGGTCAGACCGTCAGACTTTTATTTAAAATAAATAAATCATTTACCTTAGAAATCTAGAGTTTTAAACCGGATATAAACAAGCTTTTTATTTCTTTTTAAAAAAAATTATTTAAATGTTCAATAAAAGACTAATGTTTAAATTAAATTAAAAGCATTTTTTTAGTAAAAACTATTATTTTTACAAAAATCACTGTTTAAACCTTTTTAACCCCTTTATTTATTCGTTTAAACAATTAAATAATTAAACTTAAATAGTTTTCTTTATTTATTATTAAGCATTTAATTTTAATCAATTTTGAGTTCATCTAATTTTAAAAACTATTAACATAAAGTAAGCCTTTATACTAACAAATAAACTAAATTAACATATTTTATTTAATATGTAATATAAAAGCTTTAATGTAGCCACTTGAATTATTAATGAATATTGTGACGGCCTGCACAGATCTTCCCACATGACAAGCGGATACTTCACAATAGGGGAAGGATCTGACCAGAGGATCCCCTTAAAGGGGCAACCTCACACTGTATTTATCTCTCTCCCTCGCTTCTTTTCCTCTCTAGTCTTGATATTCTCGTCAATAGAGTAATAGCTGCTTGCTGCCGGCCATGTCCTAGCTTCTCAGTACGCTCGCCGTGACAAATATGTAATAATATGCTTAACTTTTTAACTATTCTTTTGATGTATGACTTTTTTATTGATTTAAAAGAGTCATCGTTTAAGCTTTTATGAAATAATTATGACTGTTTAAAAATTAGTTTAATCATTCCTTATTAATTTATCGATTTATTGATTTTTTTATAATCAATTTAAATGTTTAATTAAGATAGTCTTTAAAAAAAGCGAAATAAATCTTAAATCAAAGATTTGCTTTGATTTCCCGGATATAATAAATGAAACTTTTAACAAGAATACGAGATTATAAAGTTTTCTTTATTTATCACCTGTAATACGGATCGTTTACTTTAAAACTCTCTCGATTTGATATAAAAAATTCAAACAAATATATACGCGCTATTAACTATAGGTTATATTATTTTAACGGCACTTATAATTTTACAATATAATACGGTAAGAAAAGGCTTTAACTAGTGATTATGCGTTAATAACGCCTTTTTAAAGAACAATATAAAAAACTGAAGAAACTGTTAAAGATATATTATTATCCTTTTCTTAAACGCTTAAAAACTAATAAATAAATCATATTTATTTACTTTAAACGTTCGAGCCGAATTATTCAATATTACGTAACTAATAAAAAAGCTATTTTTAATAAGCTTTCTAAAGCGCTTTTTTTCAAATTATTAAAACTTTTATTTTTCAAATCTAATAATAAGTTATTGTGAGATTTCAGAAGGGTCATAAGCCTTGTGGGTGTGAGCAGTCGCTGCGAACGTTGTTGTCATTCTCAAGTATGCTCGGCATGGCTAATCTACAGCTAAATACCATACTGCACCATGCCAGGGTGTATCCATTGTTTCCTTGACAACCCCTTAGTGGGTACTACACCTAAGGGCACCATATCTGGGATCTAACATCTGACAGTTATTAATTTAATTCTTCGTTTAAAAAGTTATTAGGCTTTAAACGAAATTTCGTTACATTAATGTTTACTCTTATTAATTTAAATAAAAGGTTTAAGAAAACTATTACGGTAAGTTAAATAAAAATAAATAAAATTGCTATAAACGGCTTTATTAAGATATTGTTTAAAATGAAGTATTAAACCTTCTTTTGACATTTTGAAATAAGAAATATGATATTTCTTTCAAAGTAAATAAAAATAAATCAAAAGCTTAGAAAGAGTTATTGATTTAAATACCAATTAAAAAAAATTTAACAATTAGTGTATTTTATAAGTTTTGAAACCCTAAAATCTCGCCTTGAAAACATTATTAAACAGATTAAATATCAAAGTTATTTGAAAAGGTATATTAAATAGTACGTAAGTTATAATAACTTTTTAAAGAGTAATGATATATTAACAAGGCATTTAGGCCTTTTAATATGTTATAACATACTAATAAAAGATTCTTCACATAATAACAATCTATTAGAAATTACCAGAATACAACGTTTTTAACCATATAAACCTTAATCACGCTGTTTGACATAATATGTTGAATGGGGGCCGGAGATAGACACCGGAAGATTGTGACGGAACGCTCACCATAACCACCATGCCACGGCTGTTCCTCCCAAAAGGATGTCGAATATCAAGCGTGGCAGCTTGACATTCAATGGTGGTACATGTACTCATGTCCGGGCTCCAGGACTCACCACATGGGCTACCTATACCAGACCATGACAAAGATCTCCAGTGGGGCAGAGACACACAGGACATCTGACCCACCAAGAAGACAGATAATCAATCTCTGCACGCAGAGCAGAACAAGCAATAGCATCAATCAACATCCGTGTATTCAACATAATACACCACTCTCTCCTTCCCATCGCACGAGACCTCCTCTCATCGTCAAGCGACAATGATGACCATGCCGGGTACAAAAAGCGCGGGCCTGATTGATGACGGCTCCGATGACTCCTCCGGCGAGACCAACCATGGAGACGGCGCGCGTTGCTGTCTGCCGCGCGTGGATCGGCCTCGCGCTTCACCTCAGGCGCCGATGCTCTACATGTACAACCACGGACCACCGGGACCACCCAGCTGAATCTAAGCGGAGCCGCAACTCCCTTTACTTAAACGGCCGTAATTCCTGATGTCTATCGGTAAACGCGCTTTTCTCATTGCTTCTCATATCGCTGGTGCAATTGTTTGGCAAGACATCGAGTCATTCGTCTATTAGCTCAACTCTTACCACTATCGCGATCTGAGCCTCAACACCAAACCTACTTAGCTCCAAGGACACCATTCTTCTAAGGAGCCAAATCCAACAACACACGCAATGGCAGCCCAAGAGCCGCAATCCCAGCCCTCGATAACCGTCTTCCGCGGCTGGGACGACCCCGGCAAGCTCGTCTGGTCACCCTATGTGATCAAACTAGAAGCACGCCTGCGCTTCGCCGGCCTAAGCTACACAACGGAAGCGGACTCGACACGGCAGTCCCCCAAGGGGAAGATCCCGTATATCGACTACGAACCCGCCTCCGTCCAAGGGACTGCGTCGTCAGCAGAAGCAACAGGGGTAGAGAAGCAACGACTCAGCGACTCAACCCTCATCATCAAGGCCCTGACAGAACGGGACGTCCTGCCAGACCTGAACGCAGCCCTGACGCCCGCGGAGTGCACGCACGACCTCGCGCTACGCGCGCTGCTGGAGGAGAAGCTGTATTTCTATCATGTTAGTCCTGCCTCATTCATTTATTCACTGCCTCACTCACCCTGCCCATACTACCCAACCGAACCCACATCCCAAGACCATCCCAAGAACCATATCAAGAACCAACCCCCATCCCGACCCTCACCCCAAAAACCACCTCAAAAACCACTCCCCCCTCAATACTAACCAAAGCCCACGAACAGTCCTGGGAACGCTGGATAAAAAACTACCCCACAATGCGCGACCACATCCTGCAGTCCATACCCTTCTGGCCCATGCGCTACCTCATCGGCCTGCTGATCCACCGCTCCACGACGGCGACGCTGCACGGGCAGGGCACGGGGCGGTACTCGCCCGACGAGATCGCCGCGCTGCGGCGCGAGATCTGGGACGGGGTGGGTGACCTGCTCGTCGCTTCTAGGTGCAGGTCCAGGTCATCGGGAGGTGCAGCTAAAATAAACGAAAAGGAGGAGGAGGAGCCCTTCTGGGTCCTGGGCGGCGCGGCGCCCACCGAGGCCGACGCGTGCTTATTCGGGTTTATCGTCTCGGTTTTGATATGCGCGGCGTGAGTATCTCATCCCATCCCCGACACCCTCCTCTTAGCTGCTTCCCGGTTTCTCAACGTCGTTGAGAAGAAAAGGAGTGGAGGATTGAATGATGAAACCACTCAGTAGCTGACCATTGATTCGGTTCTAGCGGACCGGACTCACAGGACGTGGTCAGGAGCGTTCCGGTGCTCTTGGACTACGCAAGCCGGATCCACGACCGCTATTTTCCAGACTATGAGAAGTGGACGTAATACCCTTCACTGCTGAACGGAGAAAGAAACTCTCTAGAAGATGAACGAGTCAACACCCAACCTTTATAGGCTTCCGAGTTGAGCCCGCAAAGTGTTCGTAAGTAGAGAATGTCTTGAATACTACGCACGCAATGTGATGCCTGGTCCACACAGCATTATGTACAACTAATGTTATTATCTCGGAGTCCACTGCTCCGCATGTGCAGGCTCCTCGTGATGTTCAAGGCCATCTGCCCTGAAGCTGCCGATGCTTTGGAACCACTGAAGTCAGTATACACAATTTCCCTCCTTGTATCCAGCCCCTGAGATAGAGGCGTACGTTTGTACACTCAGTTGTACTGGCGAAGGGACTCCGGTAAACCCCTCCCATTCTACCCATTCCTCGCAGTTGAAGGCGGATACTACTTCTCGGCCAACGACTTCCGGCCGCTGGATCCGTTGGGTCTCAAGGGGCAAGATCCCTCTTGCACTGTCTCTACAGGTTCTTAGGCGAAATAGCTCTTCCAGAGCACACCCTCTAGGTCTTCAAGCTGCTCAGACGTAAAATACTGAATATCATGTTAGCATACGTGCCGCCCTGTCATCGAGTTGACAATTACATACCTTCTGATCAACAGCCCAACTGTCTTGTCTCGTCTTCTTGAACTCGGACAAGATACTCTTCGTTGCCTTGCCTACTACGCCGGGATCGCTTGCAGCGCGTCTGGCTAAGAGAGCCAGCACCTCCGGCATCCAGCTTGGGGGCGGTGTCGCATAAGGGAACGCCTCAATCAGCGCGCCAAGGCCGAGTACGGCAGCATGTCTTCTAACAATCTGCTGTGTAACGTTGACTGGGGTATCTGTTCCTGGAAGCTTCTTTTTGGGCATCTGGTTCCGCGCCAACTGCGTTTCGAAACGCGACTTGAGAGTCGCTATGATCGGAGTTCGAATTGCTGCTGGAGAACAGCGAATCATACCAGCCAGTGTAGCACTAGCCACCGTCCGGACTTCGAGCTGAGGGTCCGCCAACATATCCCCCACCGCATTGAAGAGGAGGTCCCGCTGCGACGGTTCCGTCAAGAATAACCGTCTGAAATAGATGACCTGCATGTTGACAAGCGCTCGAAGTCGTTGATGCCAGCTCGTGGCAGTCTTGCCAAGTCGTATCAAAGAGGCGATGAAAGGTTCGTCTTCACCAGCGCGGAAGGGGATGTTAGGAAGGTGGCGATACACATGGTACGCGAGACGCATCAGCTCGGGGTCCTCCTTGACGTCCATCATGTGCAGTAGCTGATCAATGAATGGATCTGGGAAGAATGGGAGAAGCTGAATACACTCCTGTGATGAAAGCATACTATCGAGCCAAGTCAAGACAGTCTTCGAACCAGATGTGTACGAGGACGGGGTTTGTTGACCGGGCGTACGCTCCTGTCGCCAGGTTTCAAGACGAGTGAATACCTCTCGGATCGTGGCTGCGAATTCATCGCTGGGCTTGTACGGTCGAATTCCAATGGACGAGTCCGCCTTGTTCTGCTCCAGCAGGGTACCGACATTTCCGAAAGACTCATGATACCGGGTGCGATAGATTGTAGCGATCACCCGCCCAATGGACTCACGGACTGACTTGTAAGGATGGTCAATGTGGGCCAAGAAGTCCTCGAGGATGGGTTTCTCATGGCGATAGTGCCATCCACAATCGTTAATCATGAACTCAAGGAGCTGCACCTTCGACGATTCCTTGAAGGCTGCGTTCGAGTCCATGTCTAGACGGAAGGAGCTCAACTTGCTGACGAGCTCGTGTGCACGACGCGGATCCTTAGTATCGATGATGAAGTGAAGACACGTAATCCAGTACGAGAGGTTCTCGGGTGTCAGGCTATCGGCGAAGATCTTCAGTATCATCGGCTGTGCAAAACTCCAAACTCGTTCCTTCATCTCGACAGGGTCATCCGACGAGCCAGCCATCATAGCTCCGAGTATCTCTGCTGTTGCGCGATGTTGATGCTTGTCGCTGCCGTCCGCGTAGACCTCAGTGGTCAGCTTCTTGACATCTTCGAAGTTAAGTTCGGTTTCTCCATAGTTCATGAGATCGAACACGTGCATGAGCAAGATGACGTTTTGGCTTCTAAACCTATCCGCTGACGCATCTCGCGGTTCTTGCTTTAGGTGATCGAAGCACTTGGCAAGCCAATCTCTGGTGATCAGTTGACCAATCTGTTTTCTCGCAGCTCTCTCAACGTCGTCATAAGCATCGAATCGTTCGGGTTTCGCTTTGAAAGCGTTGTATTGCTTACCCCACACAAGCCATCCAGCATGGTCTGAGTCGATGAAATAGTCGACGTTTTCCGGGTGGGTAAAGTCGTCCAGGAACTTCTCTGTGAAATTCGCGTCACCTTTGGGTACCGGTATAACGACCTTGTTTGAGTCAATTTCCTTCTCTTCCAGGTAAGTCCGGTAGTCGTGGCCATAGACCGCGCGCATATCAATGCAAGTGAAGACGTTGGAGAACGCTTGCAGGTAACTCAACCTTAGGCCGGGATGAGGGTCATTCGTGCCCTTGCCAACGAGATCGATGAACTCGGGAGGCGCAATGGTGTCAAATCGCAAACACAAGTTTGTGGCAAATATGGCACATCGACTAGCCGTCTTCCAATGTGAGCCTTTGGCCGTCTCTATCAGTTCCAACCCCAGGCTGGCCTTCTTCTTTTCCACTTTTGTTCTTCGCTCCACAATGAAGTCGTGCCTCGTCGCGATAGCCTTCGAGCAGTCTTCATCCGGTTTGATAGTGTCGACAATCTTCTCATCCGTAATAATCATCAGCTCGAACTTCTTCCCGAAATCCATCAGCGGGTAAATCGCGGTTGAACTGAGGCTCTGAATTGAAGTCTTGTCAACTCCGGCCGTCTTGATGTAGAGACGCATAAGGTCGGGAGCAAACCTCCAGTCTCGCATCAAGGTCTTCAACAGACTGGTGAAGAGCAGTGTATACATGGCGCCCTTGATCCGATCATGGTCCATCTCGTCAAGAGCTTTGCGAAACCTCACCAACAGAACAGGGATTACAAGCGGTCGCCCACCGATGAGTGCCTTGACAGAAGCATCCTGAGCACCTTGAGCTACTCGTCGTACATCAGCATACGACGAGACGGCAGACTCGGCCAAGTCGAGCAGTAGCTGCTTATCAATTTCGCTCTTTCGTCTGACCGACGCATTATGCTTAACCCGTTGTTGTTGGTAAGCATCAGCACGCTTGATGAGCAGAGGCCGCGGGTAAGGTTTGCGCAGGCCGCTGATCTTGAAAGGCGCAATGTCCGCTTTGTACAGACGAACCAAGCGGTCGTAGGGATGCGCGGACCGCTCGAAACCTACATCGGTGATCCAGGTGCGATAGGTGGAGTAGAGTGCGGTGAAACATGCGACGTCGTCTTCCTGATGGGTGTTTAGGAACGAATGCGTTCGGGAGAGCAACTTGCCTATGTCTTCTCGAAGACCATGGAGACGGTTGTACAATTCGGTATCGGGGGTGAGTAAGTATCCACTCTGATACCGGAACTGTGGTTTCGTCTCGTCATCCTCCCCAACTTCAGCCAGTGGGTTGTTTGCTTCTTCGTCTTCGTCGTCACCCATAATCTCGTCACCCTCTTTATCGACGCGGCCATTGCCATTAACGTGCCTATTGGACTCTGCAGAAGCACGTCTCGGGTCAAAAAGGGTCGCAATACCAGAGATGACGAGTCGTAACTGAGTCAACTGGCGCGAGACCTCGTCTGACCATTCCTTGTTCTTTCCTTTCCTGCTGACGGGCGGCTCGTCGCTCATAAAAGCCTCGAGTCTTCGCATGGCCCCCTCAGCCTGCGACTCGAAAAGCTCCACGGCGAACTGGATCTCTTCTGGCAGAGACCGGTGCCATCGAATAGTCAGATCTGCCGGTGCTGTTGTCTTGCCCCAGTCCTCAACATCCAGGCCGCGCTTCATAACCTCCGGTTCATACAAGGCATTATCGATGGGATATGTATGGGTGAGGTTGAGCAGCAGATGATGAATGTAGTTGCTGATGTGTATCGTTGGAAGTCCTCGGCACTTTTCTTGCATGTACTCGGCAACGTCGAATAATTCTTTCTTGTACTTCAGCACCTCGCTGCCGACGTGGACACAACACATACTCAGTATGCTGATGTGCCATACAAGGGCCCGATCCCGTGGAAGAACCTCAGTACCGCTACTGCGGTCTGAGGCAGCCCCATTGTAGTCGATCTCATTGCGGATGTTGACTATCAACATTGGAATGAAGACTTTGAGGGTCTTTTCGGGGTTCACTTTGCAAAGTGCGTTGCAGATCCACGCCATCGCGTCCCGGGCTTGGTGTACAACATGGCTAGAGACAAAATTGGCAAGCTTCTCCAGGACCATGTCGAAAAGCTCCGGTGAGAGCGATGCAAACAGAGGGTTCAATGCAGCTGGTAGGGTATTGATGATGTTGTCTTCCGGCGAGCCCGAGCGTAACTGTGATGAGTCTGGGAGGTTCTCGAGCAGCGTAAAGACTTTCCCGAGCAGAGCCAGTATAAATTCACCAAAGCCAGCGGTCGATGAGCGGACGATATCTGCTTCATCCTGATCGCTCAGCTCGTTGTCGTAGTCAATCTTGACATCCTGACCCTCTTGCTCCATGCGCGCCATCTCGCCTTGTACCCATTGCATGGCCAAGGTCGTGTCATGCACCTTATTGCTCTCCTTTGTCAATGTCACAAACGGGATACTGTATGCCACACTTTGAATGAAGTTCAGAGTGTACTGGGTCTTGCTGAGGTCGTTGGCATCGATTCCAGGCAGAGCTAGGGCTAGCAGAGCAGTGATGTGACACCTGAACCCCTTTTGGCGTGACATGACGTTTGCAATCATCTGCAAGCCGATGAGACTAGAGGTAGTTCTGTGAACTTCAACCAAGCCCTGCAAACTAGGATAGAACCTCTGAAGGGCGCCGGGCAGCATCAACTCAGGCTCAAGGAAACTCAGATTCTGCAGGGCACCGAAATACATGCTGGTAATCGACGTGCTCTTGCCGAAGAGACCCATGAATGTGACTTCACGCAGACTTAGTACAAACCGACGTTTCAGAACATCGTTGATACGTCTGTCAGAGGGTGTGTCCTGCTCATTGCTTTGCTCCTTGTTCCAACGAGCGACAAACAGCTCGGTAAGGTAGTAGGTCAATTGGGCAAGCATCTTGGTCCAAGAGCCGTGATTCGACGGGTGAAAGAACGTGTCCACGGATTCCATGAGACCCTCGAGGCTGTTCAGAATCGAGCTGTCTTTCTCCAGGCATTGAGGCGACAGGGATGAGACGATCCACCGTGCAATGATATAGGCGATTGGGTGCTTTTTCTTATCCTTTTCGAGGAAGATGCCCATACCCGCCGAGTAGTCCAGGCTAGCATAAGGCGAGTTTGCTTGACCCACGGGGATTTCAGTCAAGCGGAGGATGGATGTAAAGACGAGGTCAGACTGTTCGCGAGTAAAAATGCCGTATTCGGTGAAGGGCACGTGCGTGCATGTTAAATAGTCTCGAGCCAATCTTGAGAGAATGTCAATGAGTGCAGTATCGAAGACCTTAGATCGAGTCATCAGAGCCCAGAGATGGAAGAAGGTAGGCAAGAAGTCGGATGGCTGAGACATGGCCTCAGTGGGAGGTGCTGGAGTCGTTGGCATCAAAACGTTCAAAACACCCATGACAATGTAGGCATTTTGGAGATCTGACGTGCTGAAGTACGGTAGCAGTTCCTCTAGCATGGCGTGCCGTTCCTTCGGGTCGAAGTAGGACTGAGAATGTAGACATAACTTCCAAAGATGCTTGAGCCCTCGTCTCCTAGACGAATGATGCGCGGGAGCTTCTCCGGGTAATACTAATGCCTTGATCTCCTTCCAGAGAGGCCTCCAGTCGAGCGTCAGATCCTCTTGAGGCTTCAGGAAATGCTTCTTCCTTGTCATAGTGACAACCATCCTCGAAAAGCGATCAGATGCACTACCATCCAGACCAGGGGCTAGTGCCAGGTGGAAATACAGTCTCGCGAGCTTGGCCCGCAGCTCGCGAGGCATATCGAATTTGAGGGTTAGCCATCCTTGCAGCTGGCGCGTCCAATGCATAGCACCCGGGGAGAAATCTTCGGCCTTTACTGCGATGTAGAGCTGCTTAAGTATCCCTTGTAATGCGGCATCGCGCTCAGCCTCCTTCTCGACCGGGTATGGTAGGAGCTGGAAGTAGGCAAAGGTTCGCGGTCGGTAGCGTTTGCTATCATCGGCTGTGTCGTCGGTGGAGGATGGTAAGCCCGGTGATGATGCACGGGATATGGTGTCGGCGGCGGCAAGGGAGTTCAGGAATTCGGCCGAAAACGCTGAGGCCCCTGCTGACGGGTCGAGTCCTTCCTCCATCGTGAACGAAGGGACGTCGAAAGTCAAAGTGTGGGTAGGGTTTCGAGGTTGTTTTCGAGGTTGTCGGCAGGTTCACACAAGACCAGATCTCTGTCTAACTGAGAATCGGCGCGACCTCGTTGTATCGAAATGGAAGGAGGCAAGTGATCGCTGCGTGGATGACTAGGTGAAGATTGCAATCAAACAATGATGAGCCGTGTGGTGATGATGTCGGGTTGCAGGAAAGATAGGGCGCAAGCTGTCATGTCGGTCGCAACACGTCGATGGCTAGTTCTGAGCTTGCTGGGGTCCGGTTGGGAACTTGGGCAGGTTCCCGGCAGTATGCTACCGTCTTTCTATCAGCTGCTGGGTATGTGGTTGACCACTTGATGGGTGGATGACTTGTGCGACGTCGTGCCTTGTACGTCTCTCGTGTGTCTCTCGTGTGTCTCGTGTGCCCGTGGGTAGTGTGGTGGCGTTGTCTCTCGTCTGCGGCGACCAACAAGAAGCTTAGTTCAGAGCTGCCTTGGCGGGTGAAGCTAAGCTAGGTAACGGGATGCCGTCGAGTGGCGCCTCGCCCGGTGCGCCGAAGAAGAAGAGGGGGAGCGATTGATAGTTAAATGTCGGCGTGTACGATGTATGTGATGTGATGAAGCTGTATCGGTCTCGGTCTCGGTCTCTGGGGCACGGCAATGGACCGGTATTGTAGCCGGGTCGAGGAGAGCTGCTCCAACTCCACTGCGCCAGCTCGGGAGATGAGATGTGCAGTGTCTCTTGCAAGAGCTCGTGCTGTTGGTTCGCTGTTCACTGCAGGTGTTCGCTGTTCACTGCAGGTGCTCACTGTTCAGGTGCGGGTGCCGCAGCTGGAGAGCTGGAGAGCTGGAGCTGCTCCGCGAGGCGCCCGGAGTTTAGCTGCTGCTGGTCTGATCCAATTAGTCGATTTTCGGGTCCGTGCTCCGCTATGTCTTAGGTTAGTCAGTCGCCTATGTGGGGTGGTCACGTGCCCACTAGCTTAGATTAGATTTCCTCCGCCTCAGTGGCTAGATTAGGCTTCATCACCAATACAACCTCTCTTCTGCCATTTCGTGTGTGTATTCCTCAGTCAAAACACCTAACCGCCCTAGAGTCTAACCTTAGACCATGCAAGTGATTCTGGGGTTATGACCAGATGGAATTAAAGGTACATGTACTGAACCACCATAGAAAAGATTATGGGCAAGAGGAAACATATAATAATTGATCGTCTTACCTTCTCGAGCTGTCTGTCCAGTCAAGTAGATCTTGGTTCATTTGTAAGCTGCTGTCATTGTTATTGAGTGATTCATGTCAGGGAATTCACATATGTACCTTTGCTTTTCCAAGTGACTTGAAGTTCTCGTGTGGTCAAGCGACGATGGGAAACACCACTCGAATCAAGGAAGATCCGACTGTCTGGGCTTGTTGTAGGTATTCAACGTATGCGTGGTGAAAGACAGGTTGACAGCAGCCAGTAAGTTACTATCCAGCCAGCAGTTGGGCTGATAAAGGAGTTTGTCCCTGTCCAAGGCTGCTGCATGAGCACGTAATGCCTACTGCGTGACTCGAACGGTAGCCTTGCTGCCACTGACACGAGATCCCGTCGGCTTGCCCGCATGGTAGGGGTCCTCTGGACCCGGATAGGCCTGCATGCATGCACTCTAGTGCTGAGATCAGGTCACTTGATACTATTGATAGGATTAGGGGGGCCGGTGGCCGGCTGGATCTAGCGGGCACAGGAATCGCTCCCGATTTGTCATCGAGGGATGGGATGCCTACGCCAGTGGCCAACGTGTAGACTTCCCGTACCTATGACACGGAGACTTGCAGAGGGATAAATATCATGCTCTAGCATATTCTGTTGGAAGGCCATGGGCACCATCGTGGTGAATGGCGCCGTTAGCACTCCAACGGCCGCCAAGAGACGGGAGAGACGGATACCGACCGCAACTAGGACGGATCGGTCGACTCACACGACCAACACGACGACGTACTTGATTTAGAGGCGGATGCCCACATGCATGAACTCCAACAGCCCGGTACTTCCCATCTCCTACGGTGCACAGAGATTGGGCATCTCAAAATCAAGGCAGCCGCTCATTGCGACGTTGACTCCTTCACAGGCGGCAGTGGGCCTACGCAAGCTGAAGTGCCACGCCACGCATAGGATTTAGACGAGATACACATCTACGCCACCCACCCGCGTCGCATATTCTTCAGGCATGGATAAGCATCTTCTAGAAAGTTTGCTTGCGTAACCCCGTTCGGCCTGTCTCGCCGGTCCCGAAGTGGCAGTGGCGGTCCGTCTGTGGTACCAGTCCCGGACCCGGCGGAAGAGCCGCAGACGGTCCTGACCGAGAGGAATTCTATAGACCGCGCACATGTTCGCTTCGGTTGCAACTACCAGAAAGGGGTAGGTTGATGATAAATTCAACAGAAGTCGGGAGATCCGAAACAACTTTCATGATAGGTATAAATCTCCGCGAAACTAGGTACATATCATCTTAAAAATCCCAATCATGTTCCTAAGTTTGTCAACCTACCCCAAAGACACATTCCTATATCAACAATCTTCAGTGTCCTCAATTCTTCTTCTTATCCATCCTTGGCAGCCCGACCCAGACCAATATAACCACCAGCAAGGCCAGTATGATGGGCTACAAGACCTGGACGCCCCTCGCCTGCGCAAGTGCACCCACAGCAAACGGCAAGATAGCCGCGCCACCGCCCCCAAACGCCGCCACGAACCCGATTGCTCCGACATGGAGATGCCGTGGGAGCAGCTTGGACATGGCGACGACGGCTGCAGGAAAGAGAGGTTCGAGGAAGAAGCCCTGCAGCCCGATGGCAACGGCCGAGACGACAAACTGCGGTACGAGCCAGAAGAGAAGCTCCAGCCCCACGGTGATGGGGAGGTAGATCTGCGCCCAATCGTCTCGTCAGCAAACCACACACAAGATAACCAACACGTGAGTAATCAACAACTTCCAAAGACACACCGAACGCTGGCTCGGGGGGTGGGGACATACCATAATAGCAAGCTTCTCCCCGATCCGAGGCGTCACGAACCCCAGCACCACCCTCCCAACCGGCAAGCCCAGCCAGAATCCCGTCGCCGTCATGCCGCTGGCGAACGGCTCGCCGCGGCGGACCTGGATCATGAACTCGACGATGGTACCCAGCAGCTAACTTTAGAAACTCGGCTGTACGCGTCAAAGAGTTCCATGACGCAAATCCCAAGGCGCCAGGTCCCCCTCAAAGGTTACAGCAACGGATAGAGGCTGCTGCTGATGATCAGGACCTAACTGATCATGAGGAAGACAACCTGCCTGTAAGAGGCTCTGCACAAGGAGTAAGGAGAACTCGGAAGAAATCATCGTCGTAAACCGACTTTAATAAGGGGGGGGGGGTAGTGTGACGGCCTGCACAGACCTTCCCACATGACAAGCGGATACTTCCCAATAGGGGAAGGATCTGACCAGAGGATCCCCTTAAAGGGGCAACCTCCCACTGTACCTATCTCTCTCTCTCTCTTCCTTTCCTCTCTAGTCTTCTTGATATTCTCGTCAATAGAGTAATAGCTGCTTGCTGCCGGCCATGTCCCAGCTCCTCAGTACGCTCGCCGTGACATTGGACCTACCGGTCAACCACTCCAACACTCTGCGCCCCAGCGTCATAAAACCAACCTGTTTAGACGAGTAGAAGTAGTCGCATAAACACCATGCCCTTGAAAACACATCGCCCTCTAGAGTCCCTGTAGTGAATATCAATACTAGTCAGATCGAGCAAGGTACACTCAGCCCTTATAAGTCTTCGTACGCGCCACGTTGGAAGAATTCCAGATCACACGTGGAGTTTTAGAATAAGCAGCTCGTGGCTATAAAGTCATCTTCGATGCTTATTCCAGGGTGCTTATCTCATTTCTTATTAATGCACCTTTCGCTTGGTGATAGGGGCCGTACGAAGACTTATGAGGGTTCAGTGTAATCAGGGCCTGAGTGTGAACACCCAAGCCGCCAGCAAAGACGACCTGTTCTTAATTTGGGAATAAACGCTAATTGCATGTGAATCCATCACACAACGGCTTTTGAGTAGCCCAAACGCCATCGCCGTTTGGGTATAGTACCCCCATACCCCTATTCCTCAGAGCCTTGAAGTCTACCTTGTAGTGCCATGATTCTAGAGGTCCAACCCAATGGTCACCCTCTCGAGCAGTGCCAGCCATAAAACCCAAACCATTTAATCCATGACCAAGGTACACTGAACTGCCAAAAGTCTCCGTACACCCCGATTTCAGCAAGCGACGGGTGTATCCGCCATAAATGGTATAAGCACTCTGGAATAAGCACTCGGGATGACTTTTTGGATCAAATATGCTTATTCCAGTGTGTTTATTCCATTAATGTGAAAGTAGTAATACAAGGTCCAGTCGTCTGAACTTGCTCCGCCCTGATCTGACGTCCGAGCCCACCGGGTACTTTATTTGCCTCGTTGGCCGCTACGGCAGCATTTGCGACCCTATCGCCCCAGCCTTCGAAACCAATTTGCCATGTTCTTCCATTTCTGATGTCGGCCTTGCTGTACGCCGGGAAGGGACTGTAGGCCAACTTGCTGGCCGAACTTATCGTCACCAAGATTGTGTGACAGTGGCTGCGGAGGAAAGTAAGCAGAGACCGCCCGCCGTTCGGTTGGTAGTGGTGCAGGAGCCAACGTCGGGGTATGTTTCGGTATGGCTTCGGTGTTTGAATCCAAAATGCCTGCGAGTGAGTTTTCTGGGGTTCTCTTCCTCGTGCCAACATTCCAATCACCACTGAAGGCACGTCTACCCAGCTTCGGCGTCCGCTCGAGCTCGCTACCACCAGGCAGGTCCTCACTTTCTCGCTGCATGGCCCTGCGCTTCTGCATAAACGCCGCACCGGTGGACGTCGCCCTTCTAGGGAGTGCCCCCTTCGGTGGTTGATCATTCGGAGGTCGCATAGCGGTTGGGCATTTCCTACGCCCCACCGCGTCCAAGTTGGGAGAATTTGGTGCCGACTCCGGAATGGGACCGAAAGACGAGCTGCGAGCCGGCAAACTCCCGTCCGTCGTAGAAGGGTAAACGGAAGCCGCTGGCGAGACCACATCTGTAGGTCTACAGTTGGGAGCCCAGCCGTGGCGGAGGGCCACCCAGATGGCTGAAATGGCTATGAACGACTTTTGCCATTCTTCGACCGGTTGGGTCCTCCGCTCCATGTGCGCTTGTTGGTCACCAGTTGGCGTACTAGGTGGAGACAATACCGTAGATGGCGGTGGGTATCGGCTGGCTGATTGGGAAACTGTGGTATAAGAATCAAGTATGTCAAGGGAAGAATTGGTAAGTGTGGCCATGATGGGGTGACGCCGGCAGTTGGGATCAATGATACTGAAGGTGAACTTGTAGTCGGCTGATTGGGCCTTTGCCACGGGCGGTACAGTCGTCGTCGGTGTAGAAGGTAATGATCTAGATACGATTTGTTTGCGGACCCATCGAGCCGTGATCGTTTGGCCATTCGCATCGACCGATACGAACTCGTAGGAACAAGTTTTGCCATGAGACCGCGGGGTGGCTACCCAGACAGTCCCGTCTGCTAGGACAATCTCTGCTTTGTCCTCCGTCCTCAATGGGCTCAGAATGGCGATCAGGTCGCGCGACTTCATGGTTTCCTCATCATTGTCGCTATCGGACTCTGAAGATTGTGTCCCGTAATCCTCGCTTCTCACCAACATGATATCCTGGATGCTCAATTCTGTCTTGATCCGAGCCAGTCGAGGGAAGCGTTTTAGAAAGGGCGCGATAATCGACCTTGTAATTGCAGACGAAGGGTAAACATCAATTGCCGGCCGTGGTCGTTGGCCAGCAGATACTTGTTGGACCTGAAGTAATAACGTTGGACGGGTATGGATTATACGTTGCTTGGTGCGCAGCTTCGGAGGAGGATGAGCAAGGATGTATGCAGTGCTCTGCCGCGGAGTGCGCCGCCGATTTCGACGAACCGAAGATGATTCCCGGCTGGCGTCGCTATCAGAAATGATCGAGACTTCATCTTCGCTCATGGCTGCTAGCCTAGAAGCCGGCACGTCACCCTCAGGTTCCTTGAACCTCACCACAGCTTCTGGTGTTTGATGCGAATCCACCGACAGACGTCTCGGCTGCTTTACAGAAGGAGCCGGGCCATCACAGGGCGAATGTCGAGTGTCGGGGTGATAAGTGTATGGTCGGCTTATAGGGGTTGCGAAGGCGGATCGTAGGAGAGGATTGCGTCGATGGCCGGCATTGGGAGCGTTGGCAGGCGGTCGGGAATACTCGTGACCATGTAAGCTTGCGCCCGAGTGCAGGAACATGTTGAAAATGGTCTCTCATCGAGGATGTTGCTCTGGCACAGTTGGAGGACGACGAAGAAGGTTCGAGTAGACTTTGGCTCGGTTCGCAGCACGGTAGGTTGGTGCTCGATCAACACCAAATGCCACGCTCTATAGCATGGACAACCTTGTTGGTGCCCTTTCGCTTCCTTCCTCCTCTTCAATGATGTGCTAACAGAAATCGACGAAGACGCGCAGGAGACAGGGGCTTTCTTCCTAGTGCAGAAGGGACGACCACGATCACGATAGCAGTCAGATTCCGGGTCTTTATTCGGTCCAACGCGAAAGCGAGGCGGCTGGGCGGTCGGATAGTCTGGATGCTAGAGGGGCAGCGGGCACGTCAAGTAGAAAGCGCAGCAGCTCTCTAACTTGACTGAGAATAGGATAGGAGCTAACACATGGAGCTGGGTCAAATTGGCGATGGAGTGATGACTGACGACCTCGGGAGCGGGCAGGCTGGCAGGCCGTCAGGAGGATGGAGAATGGAACTTGGAAGCTCGGGCTCCAGGGGGGTTGCGACCACTAGTGGGAACCAGTGGATCTGATCGCCGCAAGGCAAGGCAGGCGGGCAGTGCGTGAACTTGGCGTCCCTGGCTTTAGTGGGGATTCAGGACCAATTGGCCATTCAGAAGCTCTGAATTGACGGCCGGGGGCTGCATGCAGGCATTCAATCGACACTCCCGCCGTCAAGCGAGATCCTTGGGACAGTCCAGCCGCCTCCTCCCGAGTCCTGCTCAAGTCCATCTCGCTTTCGCATCGCGTTTCTCGCATTTCTCGCATTGGCCACGAACCAACACCAGGCATTCCAACACGACTACGTAGCCTTCAACTCGCGCTATCTCACCACTATTACGAAGAACGCTACGTACGCGCCCGAGTCCAGGTCTAGATTCTACTAGGCAAACCCGGTCTGGGATTCTGGGCTCGCCCGTCTCTTTGACAGTTCCTCGGCTTCAGGCTAATCCAGCCCACCGAGGGAAAAAAATCAGACAGACAGCTGCTCCAGCTGCCCCTATTTCTGCAACTCAAAGCCAAAACATCACCTCATTATCCAAAGGGCATCCCCGCCCAAAAGCTTTCTCTGCTGCCCCTCACTGCCCGCCTCATCGCATTGTCCGAATACACTAGGCATCCCCTACGAAGTTTCGGTAGGAATATCTCACGATACCTTAAACTCCGGCTCCGGTTCATAAAACTCATAATATTGTGCTGTTTCATAACTTCCACAGGTATCGTTGCATACAAGTTCATAGAGAAACTACCTATCAGGGGCCCCTGGCCTAGCGATCACGCTACTACTTCCAATGCCGCGATCCGGCGACCCACTGAGCTGTGAGCTTTGCCCTCTGGCCCTGCCCGAACACTGTCAGACTGTCCAGGACTCCAACCTCCAGGACGGGGAAAACGGCTCCCTGCTGAATTGAACACAATACCACAATGTGCAACTCTCCTGTACGCACTTCTCGTGTAAGATGCACAGGTTGGGTGTGTCTCTTCGCTGGAATACCGGTAAGCCGCAATAGTCGGTGAGGGTCGTCCTGATGAATCCATGTCATCAAGTGTCTGACGCAGACGAGCTGCATCGGCATCGTCAAGGTTGATCATCCGCGGCCTTGGTACCCAATTTACTAGCCGAATCATTACCAATCATGTTACCACGTAGGGCTGTTGTTATGTTTCTTATCCCCCTTTGCCTGCTATGTCTTGCTGTTGGGAGGTTTGTGTGCCACAGAATGCAAGGGTAGAGACACATTGCCATGCGGTTTGTGACGAGTCCCCTCCGTTCTAGGTCCTATGCAACTCGACCTAAGGCCGGACTATGCCCTACCCGATATACTGGAAGCAACTGGCAATGTGCATAGCAGCGAAGTCATTGTCAATATATCCTCCTTTGCGCCGATTTGGAGCGTTGGATCGCGGATCGCGAGTCCCGGCGCAGAGAATAAGATTATGACGGATGAGACGCAGCCGGCCGGGAGATGAATAATCAATCGACCATCAATTCTTCCAGTCATGATCCGATATAATACGATAGTTGAACGTATGACGGTGGTCTATCACGAGTCCTGGCCTAAAACTACCCGAATATCAGCTCGACCAGCTAGGTTCGAGGCCTTACCAGCAGTGGGTGGGCAGAATAGAGGCCCAACTATGAGCACCACGAGCTTTCATAAGCAGTCTGACGGATATTTTGGATCCTTCGAACCTTATGATACCTCGGGCTCCCGCGCGTCACACTAATTGCGACACGTGTAAAGCACGTAAGCCGGTTGGTCCAGCTTAAACCTAGGTAACAGGTTGTCTGGTGATCCAAATGCGTCGAGTCGAGTTAAAGTCCATCCAGGCGGGAGCCGCTGACGTGCCACTGGGTAAGCGAAAACGTAAGCAGAAGAAATGATAATCATCAGTTGGTTACATGGTTGTGTCTGACGCATCGTGCCACTGTCAACAGTAGTAGTTAGGTAGAATCCTTCGCAACCTCGGCTGATAATAATGGAAGTCATCACCAAGTTCCCCGAATCACACGATGTTTGCTCGGGCACGGGCTCTCAGCCTTACCGAGTTGTCCGAGTCCCGTCACTTGTCAGCATCTGATTGTTGGTTCTTGTCGGCCTTTTTTTTCGCACCAAACCCTTAGGTACATAGAGACCAGACGGATGACTTCCAAGTTCCGAATCCAACCCTGGCAGACAAGTTCAAAGGATACCCAGGTAGCAGTCAGCGGGCTGACTTCCATACACAAGTGAGCTGGGGAAAAGCTGAAGAGCTCAAGACCCGAGTGCTGGCAGAAGAAGAAGAGATACGCTTTCTATGCTTCCTTATGCCTGATAGGAATACCGAATCCAAATGAAGTCCTTCACGTTTCCTTGTCTTCGAGCAGAGCGTCTGGTCAGCTTGTCCAATTGGGAACTTCTGCATCTTGTTGTTGTGATTTGGAACAGTTCATCTAGACATGGAATGATTCGACTGGTGTGGCTGGCCCTTATGTGGCTTGAAGCACCAGCCACCCCAGCCTAGCGTGTTTTCTCAAACACGTCAATATCTCGGTTCAAGACTCCCCTTTTCAAGGTGATTTGAAGTGAGAACCAACAGCAAGCATTGGTCAACCAGTTCGCTGCTCCAAGCTGCGCAACCGGGATGTTTCTGACGATGTCATCCTTTGATGCCAGACACCCAGTCCAAGGTCTTCTTGGCGCCTTCCTCGCCTGGAAAGCTTTCCTGTTCGCCATCGCTGTTGGAAGCGCCGTGGGCCCAGCCTACGATACCTCGAGCACACTCATCACGACAGGGAGAGCTTCCTACGATGAATCGCCGCTCGACCTCGCCACGAGGCTGACGCGATGGGATGCCATGTATTTCATCCAGGCCTCTCGCAGAGGCTACTTGTTTGAGCAGGAGTGGGCATTTGGGGCCGGCCTTCCCGCTGTTATTTCGGCACTAGCCAAAAGTTCGCTTCTATCAAGTAGTCGTACCGAGGACAAGACCCAACTAACATCGATAGCACTGGCCACTTCCGGTCTTGAGGCGGACGGCTCTCTCGAGTCCCTCATTGGCATTTGCGTAGCCAATATCTCACACCTTCTGTCGGTCTTGGTGTTATATCAACTCGGTATGGTCGTCTTCAAGAACTCCCGGATGTCGTTCGTCGCGGCTCTGCTCCACATATTGTCGCCGGCCGGCATATTCCTATCGGCACCATACAACGAGAGCCCCTTCGCCTTACTCTCTTTCACGGGCTATTTATTCTTCGCAAAGGCTGTGCTCGGCGAGAAGCGGTCACTAGCACACGATGTGAGCCTGGTGGCATCTGGCATGTGGTTCGGCTTTGCTCTCACATTCCGCAGCAACGGGATCTTGAATGGGATCCCGTTTGCCGCCGAGCTTCTTCGTGAGCTCTCGTCTCCGCCGACCCTGGACAGTGTTCGAAGACGGGTGGCTCTGGTCGTCGGTGGCTCGGCCGTAGCAATCGGGTTTATCCTGCCCCAAGTTACGGCTTACCGAACATTCTGCTATGAGGCTTCAACCACTGATTTACGGCCGTGGTGTACCCGACGGCTCCCCAGCATCTACTCTTTCGTCCAGGAACACTACTGGTCAGTATCCCTCACCCTATCTATAGAAGCCTCTAATATCCAAGTTAGGAACGTGGGCTTCCTCCGCTACTGGACCCCTCCCAACATACCCCTGTTCATTCTGGCTGCGCCTATGTTGTACCTTCTAGGGAAGTCGGGATTGGACATACTGTCGAAGCCAGATCGCCTTTCCACAGCCGTAACCAACCCGAGAGTATTGTCGAATACGATTGCATTGCTTCGGTCAATGGCTTCAGCTCAGCTCATCCTGACCGTCCTAGCCATTACAACATATCACATCCAGATTATCACCAGAATCTCATCCGGATATCCAATTCTGTATTGGTGGATCGCAAACTGCTTGACCGATTCCAAGATTGCGCGCTTTGGTGGCAACGTTGTGGTCTTCATGGTCATGTATGCCGGCATCCAGGGGGCCCTGTTTGCTTCCTTTCTCCCACCAGCCTGAAATACATACTTCATTGCACTACCAGAACCAGTCGAAGCCTGTGTTTTCATAACAACCCCTGTGCCTTCATAATCAACATACTTGGCAGGCGGTCTTCTGCGGTCCTTGATGATAACCGTACAATTTTCGCGTCTTGCGTCCGTTGGAGTAGTCAAAGGACTATGCGGGTCATTCATCTTACTGCCTTACATATTTCATTCAAAGGCCAGCGGACCCATCTTCTCAAGCGTCAAGCAACCTGAAGCCTGCAGAATATGCACAACGAAATGCAGCCCAGACGTGCATATCACTACATGTGTACTCTATCTCACTATTGCAGAACAAAGCCAGTCCCGCCGTCATGAAGGCCATGTATGTATGTGATGCACTTTGCTAGACTGCGCTTGTGATTTCCTGGTGTCGTCGGACCTGAAACCCCATCTCATACCTAACAACTATAAACTGCAACGAGACTCCGGTCTTGACGGAAAGGGGGAGTCAGTCTCTCCTGCTGATTCAAATTGACTTATTTGATACGAGGTATTGGCGTTTCCGGGTACTAAGACTGACACGCATAACAGCTTAAGGCTTGACATCCCCTAAGAGGGTCAGCTTTCCGTCTTGGTTGCCGCTGTCGTTGTCGCCTCACGCGGTTGAGAAGCCGGCAGTGATACGAGAGGGGTAAGCTGGTGGCTTGTAACATGGGAATGCCAACCAACTCCCCCAGCTTGAAAGGACGGGAGATGGAACTACGACGTATCCTCTTGAAGATGACCCAGCAGCGATCTCGGCCTCCTGGCAAACGGACCATCGCCACCCCGGGTCCACGCAGCTGCCCGGGCACGTACGAGAAGGCGTCAAGAGTGAGCTCGGCGAGCAGAGATGGCAAGGTCACTGCCCATGGAGCACTGGTTCGACCTGACATCGTCGATGCCTCTACTTCCTCGCCGACGCCGAGCCCTTCTACGGGGCCATCTGCAAGTGCACAGATACTGAATCAGGGTATGAGCCCTGGTGGTGAAAATTCGCACCACCCCATCTTGGGCCCTGGACTTTCCTCTGGTGTTTCCAACTCCTCTCTTCCACACACCAACTCCCACACAGCTGGGAAGAAGGACCATCAACCATACCAGCATCATCCCCAGACACATCTGTCTGCAGGCTGCATGGCTGGCAACATGGCTGATGATCACTTCTACTCAGATGAGGACTACCTGAGAATGGAGTACAAAGGTAACCACTGAGCAATGGAGATGTTTCATTGGGAGTTGCATTCCAAGTATGCTAACCCTACTGCAGGAGACTCCGAAAAGGATGCTAACGATGCCTTCAACGAGTTCATCAACTATCCGGAGACCGAGTCATCATCTGGCCCGTATCACCCCGACATGGACAAAACCTACGATCAACAGGTGAGTGCCCCGGGTCACCGCTAGTTCGCAGAGGGAATGATCAGTTTCAGAGGGACTCGTTATTCTAAAGGACTGCCCGTGCATTGATCACTCCTTCCAGGTGATGGATGCTACTAATTTTCCTTCGTTTGCATGACCCCGAATTCCGGCAGCAGTACTAATTCCTCCATGATCCACCAGGACGAAGCTTTTGACCAACTCCAACAACCTACAAACTTGCCCAGCTTCCAGTACGACGGATCGGCTGACGAACCCCGACAGACAACTGAATACAAATCGTGCTCGCTTTTTACATCCGACCGCGAGCCTGCGCTGCGTCGTGCTGGGCAGCGAGTTACTTTAGGCGAGTATATGCAGCGAATGACCACCCGAGGAAACCAAGGCACCCAGGCAGCTGCAACTTCAACTTCTCTGAGCAACCGAGGAAACCAACGCAACCAGCCAACTGCAACTCCCACTACTCTGGGCAACCGAGGAAGTCAAAGCAACCAAGCAGCTGCAAATTCGACTTCTCTAACTACCGCGAATCTACATAAGGCCACGATGGCAATCAACAAGAACACCGGTGCCGGCTTCGTAGTCACCCGCAACAGCCATGGCCACTCCGTCACGCTCGACCTGAACAAGATCGCGGCCACCAGCCCTAACATGGCTGATGACCTTGCGGACTGGCTCCAGTTGACACAATGGCACAATATTGACTTCAGAAAGCACGAGCTGACCCGCCACCGCCAGTTGCAGGAGATCGAAGCGGAGGAGGCCAAGATCGAGGCGAAGAAACAGCAGCTCCTGGCGACTTCATACATGTACAAGCCGGTGCACGCCGACACTCAGGTCACACCTCAGATGCGAGACTCTCAGATGCGAGACTCTCATATGCGAGACGGTCTTCCGGGCCCTGAGGCATACTACAACTCCCCTACGCCTCAGCATTGCCCGACCCCCACCCGCAGCATCTCCAAGCCTGCTGATGACCATTGGAACAACGATGCCGACGGTGGCTTCTATGGCGCAGACGCACGTGAGAACACCAGCGCTCTTATGCAAGATGACGAGTACAGCTACGATGATCCCCAGGAGACCAAGCCGAGACCTGGTCGCACGCAGGCCACCCGATCCGTCCGCGACCGCGACCGCTCTGCCTCACCCCGTCGTTCGCGAGACGAAAGCGTTGACTCCCGCCGAAACTACAGCTACCGTAACCGTGGTGACTGCCGGCGCGACGGAGAACGCCCCGGTCTCTCGCACGCTGCCCAGCGCAGCCTGGCGTCGCGCATCACTCGCCCTGACGCCTACACCGAGCGCCGCGAGTACCGTGACGAGCGCAGCGGACGCGCCTCGCCCCAGCGACGGGAGCGAGATGAGCCTCCGAAACGGGACTTTCCGCGCGAGCGTCGCTACCGCGGGTTTGCCAAGAAGATCGACCTGGGCAACCACCGAGGTGAGTTATACCTTCTGTTTTTACTGTTTCACACAAGCACACCAAAACACGTACACCTAAGGGACCAATGCTCACACAGACTACTTACTTGCCTACTATACAGACACCCGATTCTTTATCATGAAGTGCTACAACTTTTGCAACGTCTACGACTCCATGGATGAGGGCCTCTGGGCCACGCAGCCCCAGAACGAGGAGATGCTGAGCAAGGCTTTCACCGAGTGCAAGAATGTCATCCTGTTCTTCTCAACCAACAAGTCGCATGCTTTCCAGGGCTATGTAAGTAACTCCCATCTGTTGTTTTATCGGCCCCGTAACTACCTTCTTTCGGTTCCATCATACCATCCAACTTGTCAGAGACACTTAACCTGTCCATTTGCCCCTGACCACCACCACAACCACCCAAACCTAACCAACCGGACCCCCAAACTAACACGCCCAACAACAGGCCCGCATGACGTCCCTCCCCTCGGTCGCCACGGCGCGCCCGCGCTGGTGGGCCAGCATCAACTGGAAGATCTCGGAGCCGTTCGAGGTGGAGTGGCTCAGCAAGATGGCCGTCGACGATGTGCACGTGCGCCACATCGCCAACCCGCTCAACGACGGCCTGTCGGTCACGCGCGGCCGCGACGGCCAGGAGATCGATGCCGACGCCGGCCGCGAGCTCGTGTTCCTCATGAACAACCGCGCCGCGATCGACATGAAGGACGGGGAGCGGTTCCGGGCCCGGCGCTAGGCGGGTTGGTAGGAGACGGGCATGGGACAGGCAGGACAGCAAGGCCATTCGCTCGGTCGATCACACCAGACCATCAGCAAACATCATCGCCGACCTGCAACACCTTTTTGCCGAGATGATACAGATGAAGCCACCGCACACATGTCTCAAGATCGATGCGAAGCTTCTCGGATTTCAGTCATCTGTCTCTCACTACGCACCCGTCTGACGCTGATAGACTGAAGGCGTGGAAATCCGCAACCCCCGTACTGTCGACTGCCGACTGCCGACTGCCCTACTGCCGCATACTCCCGTCCATTCCTCGGTGACGCACCCTTGCAGATGCCTTCCGCGTCGCAGGTCTTGGTCGCTGCTCTCTCCTACCTACCTCCTCGCCACCTTTCATTCGATCTTCCATCCAGTCAGTACCTTTACCCTCCACTGGTCTGGGAAGCACCACACACTTGCTCATGCAACAGTCACTAATTCCAGGTCAATCGCTGGGTGCAGAGATTGCCAGTTGAATTTATTTGCACGCTAGCTTGACCGACTTCAAGATCAACCAATATCATCTCAACATCACCAGATCCTCGACTCGACATTGGAGGGACTACGGACCCCCAACTCTTCTAAAAGCACGTTGTTACGGGCAACTAAGAGACCAACCCCTAAGACCAGTGCAGCATTATCGCTAGTTGTTCCTGACTGCTGCGGGTCCGGGGCAGGATTTTTGCCTGAGGAAACTAGACCTTGATTATTGGTTAGGGACTATGAATCTGGACTAACTTCTGGGCGACATTTGCTTTCAATTGGGGCGGAGACCTGGCAGCCCTGGATCGATGGACATGGCTGTTCATCCGAATATAACCGGCAACCCCTGTTATGTTCAAATACTTCACAAGAGGCAATATGGTTGGTAACACCTGGAACTTCCTGAACCAAGTCTGCCGATTGATCACGCACGAACTCCATGTTCTCAAGGGGGCTGCAGAATTATCAGCACAACCATCTGGGATACGCAAGACCGGGACAACATCACATTGCTTCTATTTCTACTGCAAGTTACCGCTTCAGATACATATCGAGATATCTGGCCTGCTCTGGTGGCTGACGGATAGGGCTGCTTGCCCTCATTCGCAGTCACTTGCAGGCTACAACTAAATCAATATTTTCCTAACATGGCTTTGACTTTGACATTGAACACTGACGTGACGTGAACACTTAATGGAAGGGGGTTCTACCTAAGTGATTACCTCGCGGAATCTAGGTAAGTCCAGGTCAACACATTCAGGTAACTTAGTATCCCGAGTGCCAACCCATCTACATTGAGTCCCTGATACGGTCTGCCTCACCTCAACTTAGAGATCATGACTGCTGTAGGCCTACGGTGAACCCATGTCATGATGGATAGCATATGCCTCAGGTCCGACGAGCCTCGAGCCCGCAATACCGTCGGCTTTGCGACGGACATCGATCCCTTGCCAGCGCGGCCGAGTGGCGGACAATCCCGTCCTTACACGGGGCATCGGCGGCCTAGAAAGCTCCTCCATCTGCTTCCGAGTTCTGAAACCACTTCACGATACCCAACTTTCAGCGGGGCCAAGCAGAGCGGAGCCGACAAGCTTCTTTCTCTATGACAACGTCCCCTTGAGCAAATCCCGCGACTGCTTGCAGCTCGCTGCAAATCTTCGGTGTGCATATGTAGGTGTGTTTGCGGCGGTGGCTGGGGCCGTTCCTTGCTGCTGAAGAACGCAATGCGATGCGCTCACCGCATCGCATCGCACTGCATTGCATTGCGTTGCATGCAAGTGACGCCTCTGCTCAGGCTGCTGCTGACGTCAGTAGGAAGCATGGCGAGCCTCGGTGCAGGAGAGCGGGGGATGTTTGCATGTTTGCACGAGGCCAAAGCGTCGTCGAAGTCCGGGGTAGGGTTTCGATCCTTCACAATGTTTCGAGCGGCGATACTGTGAAGAAGACTGCCCGTTCTCGAGGGCTCGAACCGTCTCTCTCACCCACTGTTACCTGCCTGACTGAGAAGCGGATTGCGAAGCAGCGGTGAACACCAGAACATTGCAGCGTCTGGCTCGCAACGGGAACTAGATCTGACCTGCAGCTACTGTAGGGTTTCAAGATCCCCTGCGCCGTGCAGGTGTGACTCTGCAAGGATCCCGGCTCGTGAGTCCACTTGCGGTGCGACACTGCGCAGGGCTGGTTCGAGGATATTTTCGACTCTGCGAGAGCGCGAGGATAATTGTTTCGCTGGTGCTGGAGCGTATGCCATGGCACGTTGTGACAGCACTTATTACACATTGACCAAAGATGTCATTGGACGAATCTTTGACTCAAAGACGACTCTAAGATGCGATGGTATTCGATGCATCCATCCTTCAACCTCAAATATGTAAGCTCATCACATCCGGTCGTGGAAGCTTCCCCGGCTCCATCGTGTGGGGTAACACTTGGCAAGACTCAAGACCAGGGTCTAAGTTCCGCGGTCTCAGAGATCACGGCCTCGGCGCATCCTTCTTGAGGAATGTCGGTCTGATCTGATATCACGGTGCCCGTCTTGAGGCTGAAGGAACGACGGGACCGAGTTCGATGGCTGAAACTCTGCCATGTACTAAAGGAGGAGGCCAGGCGCGAATAGGCCTCGGAATCCGCGGGCCGGAAACCGTGTATTATTGCAGGTGTTATGAAGGTCTGCAAGGTATGTAGGGCAGCTCTCTGCGAGAAGGATGATGATATGATCATATAGGTAGTAAGCGCATCTCTTCGGTAAGCGTCAAGCGACCAGTGTAATGCTTGGATGGCGCCTCTGGAGGCATGTTGAGTTAGCCACTTATGTGAGAGTTCAGAGCGACGATGCTTGACGATCGGTTCAACAGATCTGCCAGCTGTTTGGAGGCCCGAGCAGGCAAGAAGATCCTGCCATGTCAAAGCCCTGCTCGCACGGGACTCCGTGAGTGACTGACATTATTGTAGATATCTGATGCATCGAGGTTGATGTCATTAGTATCATCAATTGGTGTTCGGATGTCTGCTCTTGTTATGAGTCTGTTATCACGTTTGCTGTGTCTGGACGAGGCAAACTGCCTCCTCGCAGATAGATCACCTATATACCGCAGGGATGTGCTCGGTACAGCGGTCAGATTTGGGACCCAAGGGCGACAGTACGCAATATCCAAAATGATTGATTATGTACCGAGATTCGCATCCAAGATCTGAAGGTGTCTGGTTCCGACTGCCCACTTCCCTGTTTGCCTCCTTTAAGCATACGAGATGCACGGTGGTATCCCAGATTAGGTGGCGGCGAGAGCCAGGCTGCCGGGTGTTCAGACACAGGCTTGACGCATCTCAAACTTGACAGCTCGGATCATGCATATGTGATCCACATGGCGCATCGAGGACCGCAACCTCGTGTCGTCGAATGCGGTAAGTAAGTCGCGATGGTTTGAAAGGTGCGCTGGGAGACGGCAACAAGATACGACGACAGGCACCGCCTCAAGCAGGTACACCACCTCATGCGTGCGACGCGAACGTCTCGAGACCTTGAATAAAGACGTCATTCGAATCAGCCTTGTCAGCTCTTAGGTTCAAACATCACAAGCGAGCGGCATCGCTCCTGTCATGTCGGCTACTGACATCGGGGTGCATCGGAAAATCTGTTGCAGACTGTGCGATGCAACCCACACGAGTTTTCCCGACTGCTTGTGCCTGGGAGGTCGTATCGTCTTGATTGCATGCGTGCCCCAATGTATCTGACCGGGACACTCAATGCCCTATCAAAAGCGTTTCCACCGTCTTGGGGAAGACTTCAAGATGGACGTGGAACGGAGCAGGCAGCCCGGATATTCTCCCCGGGTGCAAACGGATGTCTTTGATCGACAGTCGGACGGACAACCGGCACCACGCCGCTGTGGGCTGATGCTCATTTCGCGACCCATCAACTCCGTGAAGGATATGAAGAATACAGTCGTGGCTTCTGAGACATCAATTTGAACGTATGCTCAAATGGTAAATGCCGAAATGACATGTCGATAGCGGCGTTGGCCACGAGTCATTCCCCGGCACGACATTCCCGGATCCTTAGCCTCCCAAGTGATGAGCAAACACGCGCGGGTATCCGTCGACTACCGTCCTAGCACAAAACGTGTCTCCAGAAGTCTGAAGTCAAACCATTGAATGAAGCGCGGATGCTATGAGATTTTGCTGTCGCAACGTGTGATGGTTCAATTCATCCTTGATGCATGTCGCGTTCGTTGGGATCTTCCCGGCTTTGGCAACATAATTATGACTGCTGTCATCCGAATTCGAGGAATGGTGCCGACTTGGCCGCCGAACGGTGACTGCTCGTGAAACATTCGGACATGGCGGCGGTTGACACTCCTCTGACACTTCTGGGTGGTCCCGTGGAGATCTCTCTTCGCGATAACCTTTTGGTGTTTCACGAGCTCTGACTTGCATTCCCCTTTCATCCGCCCCAGGTTGGCTGATGTCTCCTATCTTGACACGAGCCTTCCGCCGTTGATCACCTTCACCACGAGGAAGCCCCGACGAGGGCTTGGGGGCCAGAGCTTCGTGCTAGCAGCTGTGACTAGAACAGACCAGCGCGGGAATAGGAGCCAATAAATGTACTAGCAGATAACGGCTCATGCTAGCAGTTCCTAGCATCGCGTGCTGATCAGTGATCAGTGATCACGACCCAAACTCTTTACCTTCAAGGTTGGCCATTTTCGTCATAGTCTAGAACCCGATCTTCGAAGTGATCGTTTGTCCCCACTCAATCCTACGGGTCGGATCTGCTTGCTTTCATTGCGGCATCCCCTTTTGGCAGTTAGCCAGGGGTAGAAGTCAGGAGATCCCGTCGAAAAAAACGATAGGTGATAGGCCTGGGGATGTTGAACTTCTATTCTGACCCTTTCCGCAAGCTACTATCTAGGCACGCAAGCTACTACAGTAATTTCCGGTTGCTGCGCCGGCCATGTAAAACATGACAGCCGAGTTAAACCCAGCCAGCCGCTAGAGGCCAGACCGCCGATGATATATCGACACGGAATCCCAACGGACCTTGTTATCAGCCCGCCCGCCAGGCAGGCAGACAGAGTCGCAGACGGCTGGTTGCGTGCCTACAGTAGCCGAGCCGCATCCTGTCGAGGTCCTAGCCACTCAAAGTTGCTGATGGCAAACTGTTCTTCAAGGTTATTACTGTAATGCAAGGTCATCTCGGACCCGTCTCCTCATTGATCCCGTTTGCTCATCTTTCGCTTTTGATCATCTGCGTGTGTGCAGGGCTTGAGGGCCGCTGCATGAGGCCGCTCAGGGGTCCCCGGACCTATGTCGTAATGTCCAAAATGATGTTTTCCAACCCCCTCCGTCTACGAAAGCTTCCCCGCCGTTCCTCCGAGACTCTGCAGGGTGTTTGTTTAATGGTGGACCAGCAAGACGAGGCTCATGCGATTCACCTCCATGTTTATTAATTCTCATTATAGGGGAAAAACGAGTGTGCAATACGGACTATGCGAGTACGAACTACACTCGTTTTGTACTCATGCAGAGTAAATGAACTGCATTACGCTACTGTACAATACATTACCAACCTTACTCGGCATACCATGTCGTATATGTGTAGGCATCTATGATCCTTGTTCCCCCCAGCATACCCCTTTGAGTGCCCTTCTAGACTACTTCTCCCGTTTGCTCGGGAGACAGCATTTCTACTCTTTATTCACCTTTCCACTCGGTACCAGCATTATCCTGCCCTCTCTCATCATCCATGACTAGGCTCTGTACAGCTTGGGACTATCGATACAAGGCCGCGTCCAAGCATCCGGGATCTGCCCCTAGAGCTCGGGCTTAAGTTGTGGATGTGTGGATGCGTGGGCCCTCGTCGCAAGGAGAAGCAGGAAATTACATGAGAGGCTCTAGCGGCAGCTCAATTGGCATTGTCGCATTTCGAACTTTCTCCCCCCGACTTTGTGGCTATTTTCGTTTTTCGTCTGGACCTCGACTTGTCTACGTCCTCGTGCCCGCCGAAAGACGCCGCCCGCTCTAGACAACCGTCCTTTGCTACTCGGATTCTATGCTCCGGACGACTGAACACTCACTTAGGTAGACTTGACGAGACAGCCCATTCATGCGATGCCGATAGGACTCATCCAGGACGACCTGAACCTCGACTTCGCTCGCTGCAAACCCTACCGCGGTGCCCAGCTCGGCAAAGCGACGCTTGACTCGGGATCAGAGCCGTGATCGAGTTCTCCATTGGGCAGTGCGAATGTAGCGGAAGATCCCGGCAGGCGTCACAACTCTAATCGCAGACTAACCATACATGTTCTTCATCATCAGCGAAAGCTTGATGAATAGAATACAAGACGAGTAAAGTTTCTCGGTCCTGTGCCTCAATCCTGCGGCGCGCCCGTCGCGTGGCAGCATTAAACCGCGGGACGTCCGTGGCGAGGTCATCTGGCCCGTATCGAGAACCTGACTCGCATTGACGATCCGCCGGCTCACCCAAGATGGGTAACAAGTCCAAATTCACCTTCCCAGTTCCGGGACGCTCGAGCAACAAGCAACAACAGGTACCGGCGCTGTCCATCTCAACCCCCCTGTCCAAGGCGCAGAGGATACTAGGGACCGGTGGCATCAACATCGACTCTCCCCAATCAGCAAAGGAGCCGAACCGGTCTTGGGAGACGAGCTCGAATGGCGGCATCAGCATCTCCATATCCGAGAGCGAGGCCAGCCTATCTACAGCCGAGACGGGCTTTGGCGCCGTGGACGAAGATGAGACACCCGAAACCAGCTACGGCAGAGGAATTTGGGAGCAAGAGTCGGAGATTATACCGCGGCAGTTACAGAGCGCTCATGGGCCTAGCAAGCCTCGTCGAGGTCTGACACCGAAGAGGTCTGCTGTCACTATTGGTGAAGACTACCGGGATGGCATGACAGATGATTCTTTTGCGCGCCGGCGCATGTCCACGTCAACCGTCTGGACACATTATGAGTCCGCTAAGATGCCTCTTGCGATATCTCAGCAGACGTCCAACTCGGCCATGGCAAAGGGTCTTCCATCAAAAGCCAGCAGACTGATGGACATGGATGGCCCCGTGACAGACTCTGAGATCAAAAAGAAGAAGCCTTCGAGATTAGATTTCTCCATGTTGAGGTCCAAGAATCGAAAGGCCAGGAAAGAGAGTTGTACTCCCGAGGTCCCGCCCGTTCTCGGGAACAATTATGTTACGAGGTCACCGTCTGTCGTATCACCATTTGGCGACCCCCCGCTGGCTTCACCATCATACTCCGAAAGCAATTCACAGACTCCGCGGAATCTCACGAAACAACAGTCACCCGCTACTCATGGTATACCAGCTAGAACGAGTGTCCAACCGAGGGGCACAAAGGATGCTGCGGGCCTACATCAACTTTATAGCCACTATGAGCAGATGTCGTTCCGAGATTCTCCAACATTCGAGGAGGAGGGGGAGGAGGAGGAAGAAGAGGAACAGAAGGAGGTGCAACAGCCCGAAAATCAATTTCTGGAACCTCGCACATACCAGCCATCCCTCAACACGTTCCAGCCGTCACTGAAAGGATCTGCCCGGTCTCGAGATTTCATCACGCCGCTGCCACACCCACCGAGCAGGGATCGCAACATCGCATGGGGTCATTCTCGAGATGACTCACATGACAGTAAGGCAACTGCAACAAGATCCGAGGCGCAAAGTGCGCCACATGCACGTCCAACTTCAAGGAAGGACTATGCAACGAGTGTGTCGAGCCGTCATACTCGTACATCAAGGGCGTCACCATCAGCCAGGAGTATCCTGAGCTCAGACAGGCAAAACAATAGCGTCCTCTCGCTATCCGACACATCATCAGATGAAGAAGACCAGGCCAACGAGTGTGTGCCCAGTGCATCTCTACTGCACCAGAGTAACTCATCTCGTGACGATCTGAGTATGTCATCTGGTCACAGACAGTGTGGCGGCGCTCGACCGGCCGCTGCTCACCCCAGAGCGACAAACCACGCTGGGGATGCAACTTTGACACAACATAACGACTATCTAACCATCCCCCAGGCCCTCCCAAAGACTCGGACTGGGCGTTCATTTTCAGGCAGCACATCAGGCTCTAGGAATTCGACTATCAGTACACTTCAACCCCGCCACCCTCCCGTTCCATCCGCACAAGATCGACGGCGCTCTTCTCCCCGAACTTTTGAGACGACGGACTCGATATCACCCCGCCAGTCCGGCTTTGGGGTCCAGGAGGCGAGGGTGGTCTCGTTCATGCCACTGAGCTTGACAGCTGAGGCCGCGTCAAGAGTCACGGTACCGGACACACCCAGCCATCTAGACCAGATACTATTCCGCAATACAAATAACCGCACATCGAATAATTCTCACGGCTCGGACCAGCCTACTCCACCGCTATCGCCCAACAGTGTGGAATTCTGCATAGGACGACCGGGATCGTCCTTACACAAGCGCCCGATGGCTGTCACACCTGCCGAAGCAGCGCACAACGCACGCATGATGGCTGTAACGAAGCAGGAGGAGATGCTACTCGCTGCACTGCGTAAGAAGAGGGCTAGAATGTGGGAGAACATCATCGCCGAGATTAAGGAAGACAGGAGTAGTCGGGCCGGCGGATCGTCAAGCGGCTGCAGTGGCAGCGGAGGAAGCGACGACAAGATTCTGACGTCCGCATCGCCGAACACGAAAGTCAATCCCACGGGTTTCCCGACGCGAAAATCCTCACTCGTAGGACGCGGCGACAAGCGGAACGGCCACGGCCACGAGCGGCAGCACGACCATCATGCTGATGGAGCTCCCAAGGTTGGTTTACCGCCGATACCCAGCCACGCCCACCCGGAGACCAAGGTTGCACACCCCAACTCAACCCCAAACATAGGCCTCGCCAGCACGAGTCCCGAGCCTCCGCGCCACGAGCGCGTGCTCCTGTACCTCGACCGGCCGCTCAATGGCGTCGACCCCATCAACGACACGGCCGAGCCGAGCCCGGACATCAGCGAGTTCCAGTTCTTCGACAGCGAGTACGCGCACAACAACAACGACGGGCGGCGCTCACGCACACCCTCGCGTATGGTCAGCACGTACCACCACTACAACAGCAAGCGCGGCAGCGAGCGGCCGCGGCCCGACTCGAGCCCCGTCAGCCCGCGCAGCTCGCCGCTGGGCCTCGCGTTTGGGTTTCCGAAGCCGCAGTCGACGATCCTAAAGGAGGTGCCCGAGTTCAACGAGGCGGATGAGGATGGCCGTGGTCATGGCTACCGGGATGATGTTGATGTTGATGATGATGTGGATGATATGGACTTTGACGACTTCGACGATGTCGGTGGCGGCATCCAGCACGAGCACGACCACCGGCCGCACGGCGAACAGCCGCAGCTGCCGAACGGGCAGGACAAGGGCGTCGCGAGGCCGGATAGTCCCGTCTCGCCTGGTCTGCTGCACCCGTCGAGCGCGAAGCATGTGCGCAGTAAGAAGAGCACGGTCAGACTGAGCGCGGTTGGGCAGGCTAGTTCTTCGATGCCGTGGTGGGGAGACGATGATTGAGGATTCGATTCGATCCTGCTACGTCTACGGTACTCTTTCTTCATTGCCGTTTCGGTACGGAATCGACGGTAACGAGTCTGGACATGTCAGCCAGCCACGGACGGGGAACTGAACCTACGATGGAGGACCGAACGACCTGGCACCACTACCACGAACGACTTTTACTACCTATGTAACACGCTACAATTCTGGCACGCGAGCATGATTTTCAACTCCAACTCTAGGTACCGGCGGGCGGATGAAACGGGACACTTGGCATAGCCCAGCTTATCAGATCGATTGCATTTACATACGGAACCGGGAAATGCGGTGGTTTGTTGCTTTTACATCTTGCCTTCTGCATTGCATTGCATACTCGAGCGACTTGTTAGCCATCTAGCTACCTCATACTTGCATTGTTTGCGTCAGGCACTGGTTGGTTTGGCTACTGGCTTGTAATAATAGGAGGGATCGACGGGGGGAAGATAGATAGGAGGGGGGCCGGGAGGTTATATCCGGGGGAAGGCTGGCTCCCTTGGTTGGAGACGAGAAAGCTGGCAGTGGTGCAGTTAGAGATGAACAATCCCACGCTGAGCTTATACTTACCTGGGTTCTGAGTGAATCTCCATGCTTGTATGATGGATTACCATGAAGATGCAGCCAGAGCTCGAAGACGTATACCGTCTGTTCGGTGATAGCGCCCAATATCTGTCAGTCAGCTACTACTGGGCGAGTCGTCACCACAAACCAAACTTGCATCAGACTTTCATCTGCGACTGTTGATAACTTGGAAAAGCGAGGAGATAAATGTCTGTAGCCGAATAAGCTGGCGGCGTGATCTGTGCACATGTGGGCGGCGCGGAAGCTTAAAAGACGATCCGAGATCTGCGCCCGCCGATCTGTGATGGCTCCAACTAGAGGGTCTCCGACAACGTCAGCAATGCCGGAGTCGAGTCCGGAATAAGCCGGTGACTGTCACGGTCCCATCTTGAACTTTCCAAACCCCCCTCGAACCCCCTCTGAGCTGTTTGGCTATCAAGCTGTGGTAGAACCGCGAAAGGATAATTCGAAACACAGCCGGTTCGAAGTGACTGGAGTATCATCAGCCAAGGAACGGGTGGACATGAGAAAAGAGGGTCGGTGTCCATCCAGGAATGGGTGATCGATCACCCACTGACCCAGCCAGTCCACTCCGTGCCTGAAGATCATGAGATCACTGAAACGATGAATACATATGAATGCAATCGGTCACTTTGCGCTGTCACTCATCAAGTTGAAGAAGAGAGGCGCTCGAGATGTGAGGTAATACCAGGTTGCGTATCCCTGCACGACTCAGGTCAGCTTCTTCAGAAGAAGACAACCTTCAAGCAGTCGGTGTGGTCATGGCGGTCCGCGGAGAGCTGCCGTGTCGGGTGCATGGCGGGCTGAGCACGCACTGTACCATAGTGCTGTAGCCTGTAGGTACCTACCTAGGTTACACTGGCCCAGGCCCGCTTGCAGCGGTAACCTGCATTGAGGACAGCCCATCCAGTGCGACCCTAGCACCCCTGGCTGCCTGCAACCTGGTGCAGCTTTTTTCTCCATTCGGTGACGCGACCGACGCATCTCGCATCTCCCTCTCCCCTTTTTCTCCAGATCCAACTTTTGACTCTAGCTGCCAACCGGCGCAAACCCTCCCACGACTGACATCTGCCATCGCCGACTAACCTCGCTTACGTCACGACCCGGACAAAGAGAAAATAACATCTACCAACACACCTACTTCCACGTCTCGGCAACGTTGCGACTGAGGAGACACACGTCTTCGTCTGACTGCATTGCAGCCTCTCGAGCCTGGTCTGAAGAATCGAGGCCGTAATTGCGACACCTAAGAGAGACTATTCCCAACGCCAGCCCGATCAAGGGCACTTTTTCTTGCTATTCACAATGGCTCTCCTCGATGCTGCCCCCGCCACGCAGCCCGTGGTAGGGCCAACGCTCATGGGCCTGCCCATGAAGCAGGTCTCTTTGATCACTGTACGTGCTCACGCGAACCTACTTCCTGTCGTCCAGTGCCCATGGGCATGCGCAACGCTGGTGCTAGGCGACTATCGTCTCTCGCAATGCACCATCCCGACTGTCCAGCTCGCTGCTAACGCCCACACGACTCTCTAGTTGACCTTTCAAAACTCCGCTCTCATCCTCATCATGCACTACTCTCGAATGATGCTTCCGACCGGCGACCATCGATACTTCACCTCGACCGCCGTCTTCCTGACTGAAGTCATTAAGCTGGCCATCTCCCTCACCTTTGCCATATACGAAGTCTCGAGGAGCCTGGCCCCCTCCACACCAGCTACCGTCCTGTTCGAGCAGATATATAACTCGGTATTTTCCGGTGATGGCTGGAAATTGGCCATTCCCGCCACATTATACACTTTGCAGAACACCTTGCAGTACGTGGCCGTTGGGAACATGGACCCGGTGCACTTCCAGATTATATATCAGCTAAAGGTATCGTGTCTCCAATGCCGTCGCGGCTGGAAACGTCGAAGCTAATGTAGTGTGACAGATCCTCACGACGGCCGTCTTCACGGTGACATTGCTTGGGAGATCGCTATCCTCGAAGCGATGGATCTCACTGGTCATACTGACCATGGGCGTTTCAATCGTATCGATTCCCTCCTCCGACTCGAAGGAGAGCTCCTTCATGGTCCATGACATGACCGACCACTTCTTCCCTCGATCGGTACACGAGCTCGGTCAGGTGGCCAACGGTATGGGCGACGTTGCGAGGGAACTTACAAAGCGTGGCTTGGAGTCTCTGGCCGATGTTGGCGAGGTGCTGACAAAGCGTTCGGCAACTTACGAGGGCATCGAGGAGGACCAGAATCTCGCGCCGGTCATGAACTACTCCATCGGCCTCTCTGCGGCGCTGGTGGTTGCGGCAATGTCGGGTCTTACTGGAGTCTACTTTGAGAAAGTTCTCAAAGACTCAGAAACCTCAGTTTCCCTCTGGGTCCGCAACATTCAGCTTTCCTTCTATTCGCTATTCCCTGCGCTCTTCATCGGAATCGTGTTCAAAGACGGCGAGGACATCGCCAAACACGGCTTCTTTGAAGGCTACAACTGGGTGGTTTGGGCATTGATTCTTTTACAAGCTTTCGGCGGTGTACTTGCCTCGCTATGCATCAACTATGCCGACAACATTGCCAAGAACTTTGCTACGAGCATCAGCATCATCATTAGCTTCTTGTTCAGCGTCTGGTTCTTCAAGTTCAAGGTGACCTTGACGGTAAGTCAATCCAGGGTAACAGTATTGCGTAGTCCGCTGATTAAATTTAGTTCTTGCTCGGGACCGCACTGGTCCTTGCTTCAACCTTCCTCTACACTGGACCAGACCGAAAACGTGGCCGCCCACCACCGATCAACATCGTCAATTTCGAAAAGACAACGATCGACCCGATGAACACGCCGAGAACCAATGACAGACTGGACGTACCAAACCCGATGGAGAACATGAAGGCTATGGGTCTCTCGACATCTCGTCCCTCGTCACCGTTGCGGCATCACATCCGGGTGCCTTCAACCCGCGGAAAGAACCGGGACGAATGAGAGCACGAAAACCAGAACAGTCAATGGACTACTATGATCGAAGAATGGTGTGATCATCTCATCATCACCAACCGCCCAGGCTGAATAGAGGCCTGCACGCACCGTCAAGCGCCGAGTCCAGGTATAGGAGAGTACAACAATTGATATGCGAGACTACCACATGGGAAGCAATACAGGATACGAGCGATCATCAATGCGAGGAATGCGTACTGGCACGGAGATCTACTTGGCCATGGTAGACGGATGTATATCATCCAAGCTCGGGAGCTTGGGTCAGAAGGCGTTGAATCAGCCAGAGCAGGCGGAATTTGGAAAGGAATTCCAATTTTGTACACAACCTACAACGATATGTTCTTTGCAATTTGGTGACTACAGCTATACCTGTGGTGTGCTCAGAACAGCTTGGTTAGAGATGCTGGATGCTCTGGACCCTCCCATGACTAACCCCTTATTCGTCAGGCGTCACCCATGCGGGCAACCCGTGCATTGAGGAAGAGACAGCACCGACGGTCAAGAAGCATCACCCCCTCAAAAGATACTGTCTTTGGCTGTTAGGTACTCATGCTCGTGCTTTTGCAGTTCAGCGTTCTGTGATCGTTAATCTACTTCCCAACGACAGCATAGCAGCTTTACCCCTTTCGGTTGGGTCACGTGGAGTCGCGTCTGAGCATTCACGACGGGAAGGAGCAATGCCCCCTCATATCAGAGTGCGCCTTCCTCAAGACGTCCACCTCAACCCAACAGGCAGAAACGCCCACCAAACTGATATTTCTGCCCGCGGTGGCCAAGTCCCCGCCCTTTCGCTCTGCCAATGCAACTCGCCACCTCAACCTTCATATTCCGAGGCCATATTGCGCTATGTCTTCCCTCAGCTGCGGAATCGCCTTCTGAGCAGTTATCCTGTATTGTTACTTGAAGCAATCAATCGTTCATCTAGTTCTCTCTTCATCGCCTGTTCTACTGTACAGCCCGGTGCGTGGAGCCACCGCCGTATTTCCGTCTTTATCTACGCATCCAGAGTCACTCCATCGATCATCACCAGCCATGTCTCGCGAATGGGAACACGGCGAGAACAGCCACATCTATGGCTTCCCAAACAGAGTTGGCCATGATAGACATCTCCAAAGCATCATCGACCATACCAACAGTCTGTTCCCTGACCATACTTACCGACTGCCTCAACTGAATCTTTCCAACAACCCGGTCCAAGAGAGTCTTCCAAATCCACTGACTGACCACCCGGATGATGGCAGTGAAGAGGCGAACCTGGATGACTTTGGTAAGCTCCCATGCAATACCCCGGGACTACAGCTGCTGACACCATGTCTTTCTTCTCGTAGATCGTGAGCTTTTGGGCCAATCTAAACCGTCGTCCACCCATCTTCCGGGTTCAGACAGCCGCAGCCAACGCCTTTCCCTGCCCCTGAACAGTAGTTCCAGCAGACCGCAGCGAGTCCTCGGTGATGCCAGTCACCACTTCAGGCCCTTCGTCCCCCGTGAGGCCGACTATCGTTCCCCTTTTCCGACCAACCCAATAAACCTCGACCCACTCGAGCCAACTCCGTCCACCCAGCCAATGTTCGCCAGAGACGTTTCTCACAGAGTCAAGGAGCTTCAGCCCGGAACGCAACTGTTCACACCTCCTTATTACAGCTGTAAGGTAGCCTCTCGTGACTTTGGCCATAGTGCTAATCGATGAGCAGCAAAGACAACGCCGCCTCTCAATTCATCGCTGACGGACAGCTCTCCTTCCAACCCCAACGCGTCTAGCCCCTCGACCCGCTTGAGTCTCAAGAAGCAGACTAGAGTCGCACACCGTCCTTCTGTACCGTCCAAATGGTCTCAAAAGGTGCAGCTGGACCTCGACCATGCTCCTAGTGCACCTCCCGTCGTGAACAATACGCGCCTCGTCGATCCGCGTCAGGCATTGCCCGATAGGTTCCGCTCAGTGTTTCCATACGAGCTTTTCAACGCTGTGCAGTCCAAGTGCTTCCCGCTTGTGTACGGTGCGAAAGACAATGTCGTCATCTCAGCACCGACCGGCTCCGGCAAGACTGCTATTTTGGAAATGGCTATCTGTGAGCTGGTGGCAAGCCAAGGCAGTGAGAATTTCAAGATCGTCTATCAAGCACCGACGAAATCCCTATGTTCGGAACGAGCTCGCGATTGGGAGAAGAAGTTCAGTCACATGGACTTGAAATGCATTGAACTCACTGGCGACACCTCAAACGCACAAGCCAACCGTGTTGGTAGCGCCTCAATCATCGTGACTACCCCTGAGAAATGGGACTCAATCACGCGGAAGTGGTCAGACCACCGAAGACTTCTAGAGATGATTCGTCTCGTACTGATCGACGAGGTCCACATCCTCAAAGATGCTCGAGGCGCCACCCTGGAAGCGGTTGTATCACGGATGAAGACGATTGGGGCGCAGGTCCGATTTGTTGCATTGAGCGCCACCCTACCCAACATCGAGGACATCGCCAAATGGCTCGGCCGTGATCACGGAAACCAGAATGAGCCAGCGAGATATGAGGCATTTGGCGAAGAGTTGCGTCCGGTGAAGCTGCAGAGATATGTATACGGCTATGGAGGTGGATCAAATGACTTCATCTTTGAGCAGCAGCTTGATGGCAAGCTCACCACGCTACTCGCAAAACACTCAGAGGGAAAACCAATCATGGTGTTCTGTTTCACCCGGAAGTCGTGCCAGCGTACAGCTCAGATATTGGCAGAGTGGTGGTCGACTTGCCAAGGGAATGACAAAGCCTGGCCTGCACCCACGCAGCGCATCCCTGTTATCTCCCAGGAGCTTCGGGAGATTGTCAGATACGGAGTCGCCTTTCACCATGCCGGGCTTGACAGTCAGGACCGCTCAGCAGTTGAGCAAAATTACCTCAAAGGTCAGCTCCATGTCATTTGCTGCACATCGACCCTTGCCGTTGGTGTCAATCTACCATGCCACACGGTGGTGCTCAAGGGAACAACTGGATATTCAGATGGCGGCCCTCAAGAGTACTCGGATTTGGAGGTGATGCAGATGTGCGGCCGCGCCGGTCGCCCCCAGTTTGACAAAAGCGCTGTTGCAATCATCATGACGCGACTCAGCAATGCTGAACGATACGAGAAGATGACCTCCGGCCAGGAAATGCTGGAGAGCACCCTGCATCTGAACCTGATAGAGCACCTAAACTCGGAGATCGGCCTGGGTACCATTCAGGACATCCAGACTGCCAAAAAGTGGGTTGGTGGCACGTTTCTCAGTGTGCGCGTACGCCAGTCCCCGTCGCTTTACAATCTCGACAATGTCCACAATGCTGCTGGTGCAGATGAGAAGATGGCGGAGTGGTGCGAGCGAGATGTGAAACATCTGCAAGAGTATGGCCTAATAACGAAACACACGCCATTCAGCTGCACAGAATACGGCCGCGCCATGTCTAGATATATGGTTCAGTTCGAGACCATGAAGCTCTTGCTTTCAATTTCTCGAGGCGCGAAGATTGAGGAAATGGTATGTCATCAACCCGTCCTTGACCCGGGCTTCTGCTAACCAGCTTCAACCACAGATCACAACAATTTGCAAGGCAGCGGAATTCAAGGAGTTCCGATTCCGACCAGCTGAACGCGCCGTGTTCCGAGACCTCAACAAGTCATCGTTCATCCTTCATCCAATCAAGGAGACACTGACGCAGACCTGGCACAAAGTCTCTATGATAGTCCAGATCCATCTCGGAGGAGTGGAACTACCAAATGACAAAGACATTGGCTCCCTCAGACTCGACCTGGCTAAGGAGAAGACCTTAACATTCGATCGCTTAAACCGTCTTGTCCGCTGCATCGTGGACTGCAAGGTCTATGATGGTGACGGCATAGGGACCAAAGCTGGCCTGGAACTTGCCCGAGCCATTGCGGCCAACTCTTGGGACAATAAGCCGTCACAACTGTCCCAGATACCTGGCTTTGGTCCTGTCGCAGTACGGAAATGGATCAGCCAAGGGGTCCATACAGTCTTGGGCTTGGCGGACAAGAGTTCCATTGAGATCGAACGAGTTGCTATTCGAAATCCTCCCTATGGTCGGAATGTCCTAAAAACTCTCCAAGACTTTCCGCGGCTCACGATGAAAGTGGAGCTGCTAAGTCCTAGAGCAGTGCGACAGCGCTCTGAAGAGCCTGTGTCTGTGACGCTCAGAGTCAATCTCGGGCATTGCAACGCGAAGAGCCCACCGAGCTGGGCAAACAAGGTTCCGACAGTGACATTCATGGCCCTCACAACCGATGGGAACCTCGCACAGTTTTGGCGCGGCAACATGAGACAGCTTGACAAGACCATTGGGCTGGACCTCAAGTTCCCAGTTGCACTCACTGCACCAAACCAAAAGATCATTTGCTACTTCAGTTGCGAGGAGATCGTCGGTACCCAGGTCGAGAGGTCGTTGGAGCCTAAAATCCCCCCTTCTGCATTCCGGAATGTGAAGAGCAAACCGGCAGGCCCTTCTGTCCAAGCCATCGACTCATCAGAAGATGATCTGGGTGACGGTGACGTGGCAGACGAGGATATGCTGAATATGTTTGACCCTGTCAGCCATCCGAACACGGCCATCGCGTTAGACTACCCCGGTCCCATGGATGGCATTGAAGATGACTTCCCGCTTATTGATGACCTATTGTCACGCGAGACCACCACCTCAGCAGCGAAACCAGGAAAAATGCCGAACGGGAAATGGATGTGCAATCATGACTGTTCGAATGGTGTTCCACTCAAATCAGGTAAACCATGCTCACACAAATGTTGCCGTGAAGGTGTGGATAAGCCACGTCCTCCTCCGCAAAAGAAGGATGGCAGAACGTCGAAAGGCAAAGCTGAAGAGCATCAAGCTTCCTCGAGCGATTCACAGCCGATTTCACATCCCAAGTCGCCCCAGCACTCGCAGCATACCAAGGGTAGCCAGCGGACGTCAAGGGAAGCTGTCCGCATCGATACTGTGCCGATATCTGGCACCAAGCGAGGCACCAATGACCTTACTGTGCCTACATCTGTACGCTCGGATTCAAAGAGACTCAAGTTCACCAAGCCGGTTGCCGATCTACACTCGCTACCCGACGTTGAGTACATTGACCTCTCGAAATTAAGCGACGATGAAAGCGATTGGTCGGCCCCACCAAAGAAGTTGGCACCGCCGAAGGGAAAGCAGAGACAGAAGCTATCGCACCTCCAGGAGAAGACGCGTGGCAACGTACCAACTTTGCCACGACTCAAGGGACGTCACGGAGCAGAGGATACGAGCTCCGGAGTACTCAGTGACCGTGAGCCGTCCAGTGGCCACGACGAATTCGGTATTGGGCCAGACCAGGAGAATGCAAATCCACTTGACGACTCCTATGCCTTTGAGTTGGAACAGCTTCCAGATCTACCTTATATGCCTGATCTGGATGACCTTCTTTATTCCAACGAGCCGCAGGACAACAAATCTTCCCAGAAGAGATGGGAGACCGACGAGACTTTGTACCCAGGTGTTGCGCAGACGCTCAGGGAAAGCATGGATTATGGCTAGGAGCCAAACCTTAGCTTCACCACTGTTGACGAGTTGCAAAAGGCATCGCAACGATTCGATCTGCCCTCCAGCAACAGCACGACCGGTGATGCAGCACCGCAAATGAATTCATCCACAGCTTTAAGTACTCCACACATCCAGGGATCAAGCTCTCCTCTGCCGCCAATGGATTGGCCCACTCCTGAGCATGTCCCGAGGGAAGATGCTTTGGACACAGCCCAGGTTTCCCCAGAGAACACTCGCACAGAGGACGATGGAATCCAGTATCTCCAGCTTGACCATGACGAGATCGCCACAGAGCCACAGCCTGCTCCAGCTGACACATCCAATGAGCCTGCTTGGTTGTCCGAGATTGATCCCCAGCTGGTCAATTTCCTACGGGGTTCGGTCAATTTCGTGGATTAGCCATGTGCCACGCTGCGCCTCCTGGGTAATCTACGAGCAAGCGACATGTGATCAATTGGAGAAGACACCCAATTGCCGTTGTCTACATTTGTTATTTCCTCAATGACGACCTCGCGGGGGATAGCTATGATGGTGGACCACGAGCTACAGGACCATGGTCTGGGGATCTCGGAAATTGTCGATGGAATACGCAGGAGCTTAGTGTTGTTATCCCAGACAATGTAGCTGATGAAATAATTGCTCAATCTAGTACCGACTATTGAACCAGTCAATCGCCGTTCCTGTTTGGCAGTCAATTACTGCATATTGTGGGCATCTCAACATCCTTGACTGGCACTCCTGTGCTCACTCTGCTGGTCGTCGGAGAACATCTGAGTCACTCAGGATTGCCCCCGCCCCAAAGTGAGCCACCCACCTTGGACATAGATGCTGACTTCTAGCTGTGAGATCTGCCAGGGTTTTGTCGACCAACTAGGGGGAGATTACCCCTGATTCGACATATAGGATCGCCGCCGGGCAAAACCGGTATATTTTCTCCGCTCATAAGATTACGGAAGCACGGAATGGGCTGCTGGAGATATATGATCGGCTGCCAAACCAGTCGCTATCTGCAGCATGCCCGCTTAGCCACTTGTACTTGACTTCCTCCTCGACGAACAGCGAGTCTGTCAAGCGAGGCCCCTCGGAGGGTGCCGTGGTCTCGACTCTCGCAGGTTGGCCCCCAATCGCCGAACAAACTGTGCGGGGTTGAAACGGATCACCGGGTCGAGATCGAAGCAGGCTGTGGGGTTAAAGTCCTGGATATCACCGGCGAGAGGAGCCGAGCCATGTGCCTATGACAGCTGGCATGCATAAGTAAAGCAGGTCACCTCGAGCCGTACCCGGGATCCGGCTATGTCGGGATACGCTCATTAGAGGCTATCAGGAGTCACGATTATGCATGCTTTTCGGTCAAGCCGAAGACCAATACGGGTATTCCCCGAGCTGTGTGCCGTACAGAACCGAGCAACATGCTGTTCGTGTTTCGGCCGCTGGCCGAAACACTCTTCGGAAACCAAACCGCTGAACGATCTCGATATAACTCGCCTGGCAGTGTACCGCCTGCTGCGTTGCCCCCTGGCTGATAGTTCTTCCACCTGGCCGACCCTCATGGATAACGCTCACCGATCGGCTGCAGTTGTCGGATCATAGACCGGGCCTGTTAGTTGGAGCACTTATATGAGGCATTTACACACCCATCGGTGAACTTACCTCAGCATCTCGACGGAAGAGCACGCGGATACGGATGTGACTCCGAGCGACGAGCGAGCCAACCTGACCCGGTCAATCCGGAAGCAACGTCCTCACTGACCGATTGCTCTCTACCAGCCGGTAAAGCGCTGGAGGCACGACGAATCCACGTCAATAGACAAGACCAACTGTGCTATGTCAATGTGCGCCTAGGTTCAGAAGCCGAAAACTTACGTCACCAGCATAAATGTCAATACACGATGCCTTCTCCGACTGGTGTCCGGCAGTGGAAGCATTTCGTTTCGGGTATTCCCGGATGATCACGCGAGTCATGATCCCAGCTGCTTGGATATATGGGAAGCCCGCATCCTCGTCACCGCACATGATATCCCATGCATTAAGGGCATCGAAACTCATAAAAGCATTTTCTATAATGGCGAGTCCAGCAAGGGGGCCTGTCACGGCACGCACACATACACCGTTTTATGCACCACCTTAAGCCGGATCTGCTAAGTCCTGTTTCGTTGGATATCAGACATCGGCACCCTTTGTCATGTGGCGCAGGTGCGCTGCTGTCCGCATCTGACAGGGCCGGCGTGTGACACCACGATGAACGGTGTGTCGGGTTGTCGGGTCGTCGGGTCTCACCGACTCAGTGCGAGCAGTGCCGCGACCTCATCACGTGCTCGTCGGCCCGGACTGGCTGGACGACCGAAGTTGATTAAGACATAGCTCAGCTCAGCGCACCCTCATAAACCACCTGCCGCCCTCAATACTGTCGTCGTTCATGTAATACTGCCTTCGTCTGCGAGAGGATGTCCCGCAGACTTGAGAAAGGTATGTATGGACTTGTTTGGAACCGCAGACCGAAAGCATTTAAGTCGGCTCGACCACACCACCCCAATTCTCCGACGCCTCGAGATTTGGCTGCGCGATGCAACTACCCGACGACTCCACGTGCCCCCGGGACGCGATTGGCCCGGCGCAAGGTCCTTGCTCAATTCACGGATAGCAGCAGCTTGTCAACGCATATCATCGCCGGGCAGGTCAAACAACGTCTGATATTCTGAGCAATGACGACGCCAGCTCACCCTACGCGGCCATACCACTGGGACCTAAGGGCCAGCTGGGCGTTCTGAACGTGGCCGGCAGTGGTCTGTTTTGCTCGAGAGGCGGTGATCTTGTAGTTGGAGACTGATATCGACACCCGAGACAGGCATGCATGCTGGTTCCGACCTCGACGGGCCGGCGATGTTGCCAGAATGGGCGTTTGGGGGGCTCGGGGAGGAGATGGGAAAGATGGCACTTGCGGGTTCCTTCGCGATAGGCGCGGTGCGTGGGAGGGCAACGTCTATAAGAAGGAGAGGCCAACACCCGCTTGAGAAGTGAGAGGAAAGGACTTCAGATTCTCCAGCAAGAACTGCACTGGTCCTTCGACGAGAGCAACGAGCACTGGCCACCTCCTTCACAGTTGCTTTTAGGCAGCGGTCAACTCCAGTTCATTCACTTAACACATCTACACGCCGCTCCTCCGCATCCATCCACGCCCCAGAGAGCTTCCTACCACACGACTGATCATGCCTGATGAGTATGTCTCGGGAAAACCACTCCTTCCGGTATTGTTACTGTATACTTACTCGGCCAAAATAGTGATTTCAGCGTGAAGGGTACCCGCGGGTCGCCCCCTCCGTCACCACGTCCCGAGGGGCCTTCTTCTGATAGTGACGGAGGAAGCAGCGGGACCGACGAGCTCATTGAGGTGGGTTCTCAGTTCGTCCCGTAAGTTCCGGTAAACCCCTTTCGCGAGCATACGCTGTCCGTGCTGGTTGGGTTGTGCTGACCTTTGGTTAGTCGCTCGGGATGAAGCTGCAGACTGGATAGGCGTGGTGCCCTCCGTGTGTGAGTCCAGATCTGAAGGGGAATGGTATGGCTGGAGATATCTACGTTGTTGCTGTTACGGCCATGGTTTTGTGCTCTTTCCCATTGGGACAAGCTCTCTCGCCTCTCGGTCCTCTTTCTTCTATGTATACGGGCATTCCCAGCTGTTGGTCGATATTTCTCGCGGGGTTGCCTGATAGGGGTTTCTCTGGTGGGCTTTTAGTCCTTCAACCATGGTGATGAGGAGGCATGTGATAACTAACACGTCATGTTCCTCGACTGTCTATGTTGCTCGGGAAACGATATGCGTCATTCTTTTAGCAGAATTAATCACCATCTGAACTAAATATGCTATCTGTTGTTGATTGTGGCTCCAGCTGTTGAATGGGAGCCGGAAATGGACACCGGAAGATCTCCAGTGGGGCAGAGACGCACGGGGCATCTGACCCACCAAGAAGACAGATGATCAATCTCTGTACGCAGAAAAAGAACACAATCAATAGAATCCATCAACATCTGTTGAATACGAGGGTCAATTGATGTGTGTATTATGATGTTGTATGGGCACTGTCTGTCTGTGTACGAGTTTTTAGTACTAGTTTTTGCCCTGGTGGCTGGTCGCAGTCTAGTGCGCTGTCATCCACGTGACATGGTCATTGCATGTCCCAAATGGTGCACCGGTATCTGACAACATCCGTGTATTCAACACCAGCCTCCCGTCAACCACCGCTTTCGCGCATTAAACAAGGTTACTTATATATAGTTTCCCATATTTATAGGCTCTTATTAAACGGCCTTCCTATAAGCATATATGTGTTAAACAGCGTAAATAAGGTTTATATAGTCAAAAACGATTTTATTTTTAAATTGAATTGATTATTATAATGTAAAGAATATACCATAAAATATTATAACATTTTAAAATACTTTAAAAAACTTATTAATATACCGCTACTCCTTTAGAAGCATTTATGGCTTATATATTATTTAATATACCGTTTTAAGTATTTCGTTATTAATTCATCATATAAAAAGTTTTTAAAGCGGAAATCAAGGTTTTTATAACTTATAAAGCACGTTAACTATAATTTTATATTTCAAATAATATTTTAATAAAACCGTTTATGATTATTGTATTTATTTTTATTCAAGTTACCATAATAAATTTTTGATACATTTTATTTAAGCTAATAAGCGTAAATACCGACGTAACGAAATTTCGTTTAGGAATTAGTAGCCTTGTAACCGAACGATTAGATCGTTTACTTATTATTGTATTCAAAAGTTAAAAGCTTTAATAGTTTAAAAAAACGTTTAAAAGGCCTATTAAAAAAAACTTCTTTTACTAGCTATAATAACGAATAATTCGGCTTCAAAGCTTTAAATATTAACCATATTTTACTTATTAACTTTTTAAATTATATCTTTTTAAAAATATAATAATATATCTTCAAAAACTTTTTAATCTTCTATATTACTTTAAGGATAAGCGTTATTAACGTATATCAACTATTTAAAGCTTTTTCTTTTTTATATCGTATTACAGAACTGTAAGTACTACATGAATAATATAAAACGTAATTAATAACTAGTATATATTCGTTTTCAAACTTTAGTTAAATCAAAATAATCTTAAAGTAATAAACGTAATATTTTATCTCGGAAATATTACTGCCAAAAAATATATTTAACCTTTTATTAATACACTTTTACCTCTTGTTTAATAATTCAATTAAAATTTAATAATATATTTTCTTATTTTATCAGTATATTTAATAGCTCTGTTTACGTTATTAATCTTAAGAGTAACGTAGCTGACAAGCGAGTTGGCATTACAAGCGAGTTAGCACTTGTCATGAACTCTCCAACTGCCATGTCAAATAACTTCACCACAACGTATTGAATTCAATCTAATCAATCGGATTCCTCTTCTTCAGACGTTTATATCTCTATTGGATAAGTTTACGCATTATGGGCAGTATTACCGCAAATGCCACAACGTCGCTCATGCGCTACTGCCCTCCTTGAACGATGACTACCTTCACTTGATTCTTGTCTTGCCAGCTTAGCACCATCCTTTGTAGCCTAAAGACCTACTGTGTCTTTAATATAAAGTATACCTCCTTTTAATAGATATTTATTTTTTGTTTTTTGGTATTATTTAATAAGTGATTTGCCTCTTTTAACTCGCGGACCCGGGAATCAACCAAAGCGACCTTATGCATAAGACCGTACGTAGCTTTCAAGAACAAGTTCAATGCATTAATTATTAATATAGGTGAGCTTTCTTAGGGATTTCTGACTCAATTTTGGATATAAACTGATTGGTTTACCGCTTCGTTAATAGTGATAAGCGTCTTAGAAGTCCAAGTAGTGAGTGGCAGATTGGGGTCTGTCGATGGTGTTCGTACAACAGCAACAGTATCCAGCTTTGAAATGACACTTTCTGGGTCAAAAGGAACAAGCACAGTAGCACTGAAACCTGTTTGAATGTTTCTTGGCGTCATAGCAGCGTTATATGCTTCATAAAATGTTGTAAGGAAGTCCTCCTTCAAAAAATGGGTTATATGACGCCGGATGAGATCCTTAATTATGCGATCATAAGCTTGTTTGAGCGGGCTAAAATAGCCGACATTTAAAGGGTAATGATACTATTATTCTGATAATAATCCTCAACGACCAGGGAATAGTGGGTTTTGTGACCATCTAGAATAAAGAGGGGTTTACCAGTGGTCATACACGGTCTGGTATACTTGTTGAAATACTGAATCTGTCACGGCGCTGGACCCTGCCTATGGGCAGGAAGTGGAGGGACCCCGGGCGCCAGCTGTGGGCGGCCCGGGTGGACCGATATGGACCTGAGAACTGACAATATCTTCACTGTCCCCGCCCGAACCTGAATTGTAGCTCTTCGAGCTACGTCCTGTCAATAGAGTTACCCGTAACCCTGCCAGAACCGTAGAGAATAAACTGTCATACGATCACTTATACTGCCCGTACCGGAGCCCGTGACATTACGTAGCTCCTATCCTATAGGCGCCGTATCTACTGCAAGAATGTCCCAGGAGCGGCCTGAACCGCCTTCGGGAGCGGACTCTCCAGAAGAGCTCGTTGCCCACGTTACCAACAACCCGTCCGACTGGCTGTTATACTTGCGCCATATCAATGGCTACGCTGCCGCCTTGAAGGAAGAGAACGATTTCTCCCGCCTCGCCGACTCTGACCACGATAACTCCCTCCAGTCCCTCCGATCGACCATCGCCAAGCAAGAGGGAATTATCGAATACCAAAAGCAACAGCACCGAGAAGATACTGCCCTGCTCCAGAAGGAGATTACCCATCTGGAGGTTGAGAAACTCCGCCTGCTCGACGCCGCCACGCCCGCTGTCCACACTCCCCGACCCGTCCCTGCCGCTATCCCAAGTCCCCTGGCTGAACAGCCTGCGGATTCTGTACCAATACCGACTACGCTTGTTCCGCCCGTCTGTTCCGGATCTTCCCATCTCAGTGAGAAGATCCCTGACCCAAAAGAATTCGATGGCTCTCGAAGCGACCTTCGCCGGTTCACGCAACAGACCTATGGCAAGATGACCGCCAACGCTGACCGATTCCCGACCGCTGCTGCCCGCCTGACCTATGTTGCTGGACGTCTGACCGGGAAAGCCTACGAATTGATCCTGCCGAAGACCCGCTACGGAGTTCCCGAGTTCCTCGATTACCCGGAAATGCTTGCCTACCTGGAGAACGCCTTTGGAGACCCCGACCGTATTCAGAATGCCCAGAATAAACTATACCAGCTGAAGCAGAGGAACCTGGATTTTAGCACCTTCTTTTCCGAATTTCAACGCCTGGCCCTGGAAGGAGAGATGCCCGAGGACGCCCTGACCCCATTGTTGTTCCAAGGCATATCTCGCGAACTTCAGGATATGCTCCTACACAGCCCGACCCCGTCCCGGAAATACAGAGACTACGCCAACCATCTGCAAGCTCTGGATAACCGCTTCCGCCAACACCAACAGCAAGTCTCCCGGAACCGTATCGTCACTCCTGCCAGAACCCCTGCCAGTTATGCCGCCGCCGTTGTCCCCCGCCAGCCCGCTGCCGCGAGCCCGAACCCGAGCCCGGACCAGCCCAAGAGAGAATGGAGAGCGCCCCGACCTGCTTCGCCCGTCGCCAACGGAGGAGAGCCTATGGACTTGAGCTCCCAGAAAAGATTCGCCCCCGGTGGAAGGAAAGAGCGCGGAGAATGCTTCCGCTGCGGTTCAGAGGGTCATCGCGTCGCTGCCTGCCCCGAACCTGATACTCGCCCCTCGTCCCAACTTCGTCAATTCCGTGCCAGCTATGTCCACCGTTTCGATAGCCCTGATCCTGTCCGATCTGTCAGCCCGCCTCCCAGCCCACCGAGCTCGACAAATGGAGCGAGTCTGGGTTAAGTCGCACCCAGGCTCCCAAGAAAGAGCGCCGCCCGAGAACCGCTGCCACCGTCCGACTATCTGCTGCCGCCGCCAAGGGAGTCTCTGTCCAAGAAGAAACGGATCAGAGGTCCCATTTGATGATTCTACCTGTTACCCTGGAATTAGGAAGCAAGGCGCTCCCGACTTACGCCATGACCGATACCGGAGCCGAAGGAAAAGGCTTCATAGACCAGAGCTGGGCCGCGAGCCACGAGCTACCCCTGAGGAAACTAAAGAGACCATTCGGATTAGAAGTGTTCGATGGAAGAAACGCCGAGAGTGGAATGATCACCCACTATATCGAGACCCGACTGAGAACTGAAGACCATTGCGAAGAGATCAAGCTCTTCGTGACCCAACTGGCCCATTACCCCGTTATTCTGGGAATGCCCTGGCTAAAGAAGCACGACCCGAAGATCGGATTCGCCTGCCATACCTTTACTTTTGACAGTGAATACTGCCGGAAACACTGCAATACTCCCGCCCGCCCGACGAAGATCCGAGCATTGCATGACGTCCCTGCCAAGGCCCGACCGCACAACTTGCCTCCCCGACCGGCTGAGCTGCAGCATCTAGATATTGCCCGAGTATCGTTAAGAGCCTGTACGATGTACAGCCGAAAGAACTGCCAGCTTTTTACTGTTACGATCAATGATATCGACCGGTACCTGCAGAATGCCAGCCCGCCGGAGCCCCGAGACCTGCTGCCCGAGGAACTAAAAGATTATGCCGACATCTTTTCACCCAAGGAAGCCGAAAGACTCCCCCCGCACCGGGATTATGATCACGATATCCGCCTGTAGGATGGCAAGACGCCCCCATTTGGACCACTGTACCCAATGTCCCGCAACGAGCTGATCGCACTGAAGAAATGGCTGGAAGAGAACCTGCGCAAGGGGTTCGTCCGTCCCAGCTCGTCGCCTGCCGCCTCCCCAGTCCTGTTCGTAAAAAAGGCTGATGGAAGCCTCCGTTTCTGCGTCGACTACCGAGGACTGAACAACATCTCTGTTAAGGACCGATATCCGCTGCCTTTGACCAAGGAATCGCTGAACAACCTGAAGGGAATGAAGTACTTCACGAAGATCGATATCGTGTCTGCTTTCAATAATATCCGCATGAAGAAAGGACAAGAGTACCTGACCGCGTTCCGTACCCGCTTTGGCTTGTACGAGTCCCTGGTGATGCCCTTTGGACTGACTGGGGCCCCCGCAACCTTCCAAAGGTTCATGAACGACACCTTGCGAGAGTACCTAGATGTATTTTGCACTGCCTATCTAGACGATATCCTGATCTACAGCCGTACTCGAGAAGAGCACCTGAACCACGTCCGCAAGGTATTAGAGTCCCTGAGACAAGCCGGCCTGTATGCCAAGATCCAGAAGTGCGAATTCTTCAAGGATGAGACCACCTTCTTGGGTGTAATTGTCGGGAAGAATGGGATTCGCATGGACCCGAAGAAGATCGAGACCATTCAGAACTGGCAAACCCCGTCCTGCCTGACAGACGTCCAAGCGTTTATCGGATTCAGTAACTTTTACCGACGCTTCGTGAAGGATTTCTCGAAGATCATCGCCCCTATGGTAGCCCTGACGAGAAAAGGAATGCGTTTCCACTGGAACCCGGCCTGCCAGACTGCCTTTGACCGCCTGAAGCAAGCTTTTACGACAGCGCCTGTCCTGGCCCCGTTTGATTGAGGAAAAGATATCATCCTGGAGACCGACGTGTCTGATTACGTGTCCGCCGGAGTGTTGTCCCAGTATGGGGACGATGGAATCCTAAGGCCAGTAGCTTTCTTTTCGAAAAAACACTCGACGACAGAGTGTAATTACGAAATTTACGACAAGGAACTGCTGGCGATTATCCGCTGCTTCGAAGAATGGAGACCCGAGCTGGAGGGGACAAGTTCCCCGATTAAGGTTATTACTGACCACCGGAACCTAGAGTATTTCACGACGACAAAGTTACTGAACCGCCGCCAAGCCAGATGGTCCGAATTCCTGTCCCGTTTTAACTTCAAGATTGTCTACCGCCCCGGAAAGCAAGGAGCGAAGCCGGATGCTCTGACCAGGAGGTCAGAGGACCTGCCTAAAGAGGGGGATGAACGCCTATTGCACCAGAGTCAGGTAGTGCTGAAAAGAGCCAACCTTGACGATTTCTTACCTATAGATAGGAAACCGGAAGACCAGCCCGTTAAGTTGCCGCCAATTCCACCACAGACTCCTGAGGTTCTTGAACCAGTGCCTGCTGCCCCAGAACCCGTGCCAAAACCAGCCCGCCCCGTCAAGCGAGTACGATTCGCAGACCCGATCCTGAAGCTGTACCCAATCACTCGCAGCCAGCTCCGTGGACCTGGAGCTCCAGACCACCGACCACAGCCCGATTTGGAACCACCACGGCCTGCACTGCCCGTCGAGAGGACTACACCGCTGCTACCTCCCCAGATCCAGGACCTTTTCAACCAAGGATACGCCACAGACAAAGAACTACAGTCGATCGTCCGAGCTCTGAAAGAAAAGAAGTCTCGCCACCGCAAGATATCACTGGCCGAGTGCGAACTGTCCGGAGAACACTTGTATTACCGCGAACGCCTGTATGTCCCTGCGAACGAAGGACTCTACGCCGAGCTCCTGCGCCTGTACCACGCTAGCCCTGTCGCCGGCCACATGGGTCGAGCCCGTACGTACGAAGTACTGTCCCGAGAATACTACTGGCCTGGTATGTTGTCTTATGTCGAACGATGGGTTCGCAATTGCCATACCTGCAAGAGGACTACCGCCTCGAGAGAAGCCCGTCAAGGAGTCCTGAGACCCCTCCCGATTCCCCAGAGAGCCTGGCAAGATATTTCGATGGACTTCATCACGCACCTGCCCGACAGCTACGGCTACGACGCGATCCTGGTAGTCGTCGACCGCCTGACCAAGATGAAGCACTTCATCCACTGTAAGGGAACCTGCGATTCTGAAGAAGTCGCCCGTCTATATGTTAAGTATGTCTGGAAACTGCACGGCCTGCCTAGAACCATTGTATCCGACCGAGGACCCCAGTTCGTATCTGATTTCTGGAAGCATCTGACCAAACGCCTGGGAATCACCGCACTGCTGTCGACCGCCTACCACCCCGAGACCGATGGGCAGACCGAGATCGCCAATTCCTTCCTGGAACAGTACCTACGAGGCCACGTATCATACCTTCAAGACGACTGGGTACGCTGGCTACCGTTAGCCGAATTTGCGATCAATAACGCACTGAACGAGAGCCTGAAGACCACGCCCTTCTTCGCGAATTATGGATATCACCCCCGTTTCGGATTCGAACCTGCCCTACCCGGACGTCGCCTTGCCGCCAAGGATGCCGAGGAGGTCGCCCTGAAGATGGCCACTGTACACGAGTACCTGAAGTCTGAGATCTGCATCGCCCAAGCCCGCCACGAGGAGTATGCCAACCGGAAACGCCGACCTGCCCGCAGATTCTACGTCGGACAGAAGGTCTGGCTAGACGCAAGGAACATCAAGACTGCCCGCCCCCAAAAGAAGCTTGACTGGAAGAACCTGGGCCCGTGGGAAATAGCTAAGGCTATTAGCCCGTACGCCTACCGCCTGAAGCTGCCTGCGTCCATGAGAATACATCCTGTCTTCCATGTAAACCTGCTGCGCCCTGATTCTGCCGACCCCCAGCCTGGACAGCAGCAAGAACCGCCGCCTCCCATCGAAGTAAACGGCCTGCAAGAATGGACTGTAGAGGAGATACTTGATTCCCGCTGGGATCGCCGAGGACGTGGAGGAAGGCCTAACCTGAAGTATACTGTTAAGTGGGAAGGATACGACGAGCCCACGGAGTCCCCTGCTGCCTGGCTCGAGAATGCACAGGAGGTTGTTAACAACTTCCATCGCCGGTACCCGAACAAGCCCGGACCTGAACCTCCGCTATGAGGATAAACTGGAAGCCTGTGAACCTGTTAGACGCGTCGTCGGAGCTCCGCCTAGAGAGGGGAGTACTGTCACGGCGCTGGACCCTGCCTATGGGCAGGAAGTGGAGGGACCCCGGGCGCCAGCTGTGGGCGGCCCGGGTGGACCGATATGGACCTGAGAACTGACAATATCTTCACTGTCCCCGCCCGAACCCGAATTGTAGCTCTTCGAGCTACGTCCTGTCAATAGAGTTACCCGTAACCCTGCCAGAACCGTAGAGAATAAACTGTCATACGATCACTTATACTGCCCGTACCGGAGCCCGTGACAAGAGGTTTCTATCTCTATTGTACAAGTTCGCGCATCATGGCCAGTATTGCCGCAAACGCTACACTGTCGCCCACGCGCTGCCGCCCGCCTCGGACGACGACTACCTTCACCCATTTCCTGTTTTGCCAGCTCAGTACCATCCTTTGCAGTCTGAAGATCTACTGCATCTTTAACGGAAAATATTCCGCTTTTTATTAGATATTTATTTTTTGTTTTTTGGTGTTTACTTAGTAAGTGATTAGCCTCTTCTAGTTTGCGGACCCGGGAATTAACCAAAGCGACCTTATGCATAAGACCGTATGTAGCCTTTGAAAACGAGCTCAATGTATCAACTATTAATGTAAGTGAGCTTCCCTGGTGGTTTCTGACTCGGTTTCGGATATAAACCGATTGGTTTACCGCTTCATTAATGGTGGTAGGCGTCTTCGAAGTCCAAGTAGTGGGTGGCAGATTGGGGTCTGGCGACGGTGTTCGTATGACAGCGACAGCATCCAGCTTTGAAATGACACTTTCTGGGTCAAAAGGAACAAGCCCAGTGGCACTGAAACCTGCTCGAATGTTTCCTGGCGTCATAGCAGCGTTATGTGCTTCACAAAACGCTGCAAAGAACTCCTCCTTCGAGACGTGGGTTATATGACGCCGGATGAGATCCTTAATCATGCGACCGTAAGCTCGTTTGAGCGGGCTAAAACAGCCGACATCTAGAGGCTGGAGCCTGTGTGACGAGTGGGCAGGCATACAAAGGGTGATAATGCCGTTGTTCTGACAATAATCCTCAAAGACCTGGGAATGGTGGCTTTCGTGACCATCTAGGATGAGGAGGCGTTTACCGGCAGTCATACGCGGTCTGGTATACTTGTCGAAATGCTGAATCCATTCCAAACCAATCTCATTCGTGGTCCACCCATTGTCGGACACGGCCACCTTCCAATCGCGTGGTAATATCGTGTCGCAATACCATGACGCGAGGTGGGTTTTGTCCTGTAGAATGATGAACGGCGGGACCACCCAACCATCAGCATTAACAGCAGAGATTGCTGTAGACTATTCCCTGTTGCCTTGCTGAGCTTGTCTAGGCCTGCCACGTCTTTCGGCGCTTGTAACGACCATGCCGGACCCAATAATGCCCATCATAAACCCAGTCTCGTCAAAGTTGTAAATATCCGCGTCTTGGATACCATGTTTTGCGACTGCTGCTGCAACTTGGCAAAACCACGCGCGATACGCGTCTGGATCCTCGTTCAAGACCCTCTGGTAGTCTATCTTCCGATGAAAACGTGTCCGGAGGCCTGGTGTACGTTTGATGAAGTTCCGCGTCCAGTTCTTTCCAACGCGTCCAGCCCCATGCGCCGCCAACAATTGATTCGCCATATCTTCAATATAACTGTACCGGGGCGGCAATGCTCGCGCATCCAGGTCGAGAATGAAGGAACAAATAGAATTCTCTTTGGAAACCATAAGTTTCAAAGTATTGGCATGCTGTCGCGTCGTGATGGCATTCCTTTGACTCTATTGCTCAAAGTGGAACGAGGGACGTTAAAGAGTTTTGCAAGCTGAAATATAGG